CTTTCAGTAAATTGCTGAAATCAACATAAAATGTGTCTTTTCCATCGCCGCGGAGCTGAGTCAAATTCGATGGTCGAAATACGCACGGCTGCGAGCACGGTGTGTAAGCCTCATTGTCCGCTGTGTTAAAACCTCGCCTACGCACAATGCATAAATTACGGAGGTCGATGCGTAAATTTCAGAAAGCTTCTTTTTATTGGATTGAAATTGGCCCTAATTTCTCGACAACCAATCAAATTATGTGTTACATCAGACGACACGGGATTATATACCCTATGATTTGGCGCCCGAGATGGCCCAATAACAAGTCGCAGTTACTCCTTGAAGTACACAACCCCAGTGAAAAAGGCGAATTTTCCTGTGACCTCGATCCATAGAGAAATCACAAATTGAATGATTGTTGTCCATTTTTGAAGACGAAAAGGCCCTATTTTCCGGTATTCAAATCAGTTCGAAATTGGTATCAGTCGAAAGAACAGTATTTGAATATGTGATTTCCACCCGAGATGGTGTGTAATCAAAGTTTGTTTACCTCGTAGGAGCATTTCTTTGCACACTTAGCGCATTTTCAAAGACGATTTCACGTGTTGTAGACCGCTGAGCGAGACCGCGTGAGCAGATGCCCAAAATTTGTTCATATGTAATGGCCTTAACTTGTGAAAAATGAAATTCAATTCTGACATTTCAGATGAAGTTTTAAAAGTTATTTATTTATACTACTACTACTACTACTACTACTACTACTACTACTACTACTACTACCACTTCTACTACTACTACTACTACTACTACTACTACTACTACTACCACTTCTACTACTACTACTGCTACTACTACTACTACTACCGCTGCTGCTACTGCTGCTGCTACTACTACTACTACTTCTACTACTACTGCTGCTGCTACTGCTACTACTACTACTACTTCTTCTGCTGCTACTACTACTACTACTTCTTCTGCTGCTGCTACTACTACTATTACTACTTCTTCTGCTGCTACTACTACTATTACTACTACTACTACTACTACTACTACTACTACTACTACTACTACTACTACTACTACTTTTACTGCCACTACTACTACTACTTATACTATATTTGCATTGTCCTTACATAATACGGACCTCTTTTGCTAAATCCAATTTTTGTTGCTATTTGTTTTCCTCTAACGGCCGGATTAAGACGATTCCTGGAATTCTAATCACATTTGTTAATTATTATGAAAATGAGAAAGGAGGATTGTGTCACAGAATTACCTGGGTGGAGTACTTAAACAACATCCACCCGCTTTCGTTGAATGACGCCACAAGAAAGGCTTTTTCAAAGAGAGTTATAAAAGAACACGATTCTTAAATAACCCTCTTCGCGGCATAAATTGAACAATAAGCTTCAATTCTTTTGAGCAACTCTCATCTTACGACATTCGTCATAATCGACATATAATCAAGGGTCCTTTTAGTTCTTTATTCACAGATTCTTGTCTTGATAACCTTCCCTAAGCTAGCAGATTGTCAACTAAAATAAATGAGAAAGAAGGAGAAAGAGATGGACAAATTGACAAATGAAAATGAGAAAAGCGGGAGGGAAAAAGAACAAAGATAAGGAAAATAAGAGAAAATTATAAAAGGGGCAAGAAAAAATGTATAAGGAGAGGGAGGAGAACGAATACGAAAGGTGACAAAGGAGATAATACAGAAATGAGAAAAACGCACGTACTATTATACGCTGACGCAGTCTAGTCCTACGTCAGTCAAACTATGGCTTAAGGTTGTAAATCTTTTTAGTACATGTATTTTCTTTCAAACAATGTCAATCGATGTTGTTGTTGCTGTCGTTGTTTTTGTGTGTATGTGTGTGTGTGCTTTAGCAGGTTTAGTTACATATATTTGTATATTGATATAAATTACATGTGTCACTGAGATGTGAAATGATGTTGGGTTAGTTTAGTTAGGTAACTGATAGTTAGTTAGAAATTTGCCCAAAGTTATGTTACTCTTGCCCAAAACTGTTAACGACGAATTAATCAACTAGTGTAATTTAAGTTGCCTAGCCTTGGTTATAACCAACCTTTGTGGGCATATTAGTGTTAGGCAAACTGGACTGATGCATTTGAGTAAATTTATTGAGATGCTAATTATTATTAAGTAATCTCAACCATACGCAAATCATTGCCGGACATTATGGTAGGGAGCGCTATTATTAAGGTTTGCCCAAATGATGTGCATATCAACAGTGTAAATTCCGTTTTCCAAGTGAAGTTTTGGTAATATAATTAGCCAAAGTTGTGTAAATCTGTTTCATATCTGCTGGTAGTTTGACCGATTTGTGTCAAAGCAACATCTTCCCAAACGCTGGTCTCATTTTCACCCATAATTGGTGTACCTTATTCAGCAAGTTATATCCATCTGTTGGTAACATTACATTTTAACGAATAATATGCACTCTTAAAATCAGTGCTGGGTAGATTTAGATGGGATACAGATAGTTGGTCCAAAATTTCCCTACAGTTCTGCTACTTTTGAAGAAATCTGTTGAAGATATACTGACTAATTTGTGCAAAGCAAGAGATGCTCAACAGTTTTGTTGGTCGTATTCTAATCAACCATTGTGGGCATATTAATGTTGGGCAAATACCATGAACTGTGATTAAAGAGAACTTGCCGGAGCTCGTACATGTAAATAGATCAAAGAAATCAAATGAAAACAAGATGTCTACATTCTGGAGTCAAATATAGTTCAGCGGAGTACAGATAAAAGACGAGGTTGAACCAGTGAGAGTGTGGTTGGATATTACTCAAGCAAAACTACCAAGACCTTTGTTTGGATCGAAATCCTAATCCTTCCTTGAACCAATCGATTTAGTGCAATTGCGACCTCAATAATGAGCCTATTACCAAAACGATAATGGGACTTTACAAGCGCATGTGAAAATTCCTTAGTATTAAAGGGTATTACGCGTTACTTTCACCGCGTTGGACGTTTCTAGAGTAAATGACAAGTTTGTATGGAAGAGTTCTTTTTCTCGCTTAATGATTATGGTTTTGTTTTGATTTATTTTGCTTTGATATATTTTGTTTTGTGTCGTTTTTGTGGATTACCCAACCAAGTACCAAGTAAATCCCTGTAATGGCCAAGGATTTATTTCTTTAAGTACATGGCTTTGTACACGAAACCCATTGTCTATGGAACTGGGTGGTCCATGCGTTAAGTATATGGGAATGAGAAAACTCAAGAGTTGATGGGTTCAAAAGAAAACAAATCATTATTTTTGAGCAGACAACAAACTGAAATATAATCAAGATGGGCAGAAAACGAGCGGCTTTACCATCATAATACACTTTTTGGACAGTGTTTGTTTAACATTTTGATAATTAACAATAATGGAATGAAAATAAATCACATTTTTAGATTATTAGCATAAGAAAATACATACCAGAGAAGAAAAAGTATCATGATGTAACGCTATGTGTGATGATTGAATGGAAGAGCATGTTTATCCACTGTATATAAATGTATATATCATTTCCAAAATCTAATACATGTGGTAAATCTATCTGGAAATAAGATTATTGCAATAACATCCAGTCATAATAACACTGAACCTTACTTTATCCTGCAACTCATTTTTTTTTCAACCAAAGATGACAAGTTACCAAAATAAAACAGCAACAAACATGATATCATCTTTATCTTCAGCTTTTAATAATCAGATATTTTACAAGACATACAGTGATTGCATTGTATGCCAGCTTTGAATGCATCACACAGACATTTACATACCGTAAGTATAAATTGACCACCAAGAGGAAACAGCAATTGATAGCCACTTTCTTACTCAGTGTACTTTCTTTAGAATACCAAGCAATACATGACCCTCAAATGAGAAGACATACAAAGTACATGTATAATAGGATCAATACTCTCTGCAGGCTTTGCATAACCTGGTCATACATAGCTAGAGTAATTGATGTACTTTAAAAGGTACTATGTCCCATTTGCAGGCCAAAAAAATGAAAAAGTTAAATTCCAACTGCATTTGAAAGATAATACTAATTTAGAACTTCCCTAAAAAAGGTGGGGCTTGAAAATGTCTTCAAGTGGGAAAATAACAACTATTAGTTGTCAAATCGACTTTAGGGCTATAGAGCCCAAAACTAATAGTCTTGATTTTTAGACAATTGTACCGAATGATCATACGTTTTATGCTGCGCAAAGATTCAATCAGTTTAATCTTGGCCATCACATGAAGCGGGTTATTGATGTAGACAAATGCTCATGTACCCTTTACAACTCTTTTCATGTATGTTATTACCAAAGAAGAAAAAAAGCCAGTCAGTCACTCAATAGTGTCTGACGGTGAAGTCTAGCAAGTAAACAGGTTTCCTTGCATAGTTTGAATATGAGGACAATGCTGACGTTTAAATTTCACAGATAGGACATACATGACATATTCATAATTCCTGCAAAGTTCTACAGAATTGAGGTTGGCTGCAAAAGGGACATAGTACCTTTAAGGAGTTACTTTACATAATGACAACATTTAATTAAAATAAATATATGTAATAATCAATAGTTGTGCAGACGAGTGCCTAGTCTAGTTTGTCTTACAATAGAAGAATCTATCCACTGTATACAAGCTTTACCAACTGATCACAGTAAAATCAACTCGCTAAGGAAAACTATGGAAATGACCATGAAACGGTCGAAGACATAATATGGGTTTTACTCAGGGATTATGTAAGGATTCAGCATGATATGCACTGAATGTGTGTTTAACTGTCAATGGTCCTCTTCAATGGTTCTCATGGAGGCCGCTGAAATGTAATGAAAAAGTACAGCGAACTATCTTTAGATCATCTGTCTACCACCAATGCTGTTTAAATTCCATAGCCTCATATGCAACGTTACAATGCTATGACATAAGGAGGGTAGAGGCGGGGGGGGGGGGGGGGGGGGGGGGGGGGGGGATACAAACAGAAAATAAAACAAAACAGATTCTTTCTTTAACCCTAAAAGGGTTGGGCGTTAGATTCGACCCCCTGTAGTTTTAATGCGATAACATCGCAATTTTTGTGTTTGTGTTCCGGCACCTGCTAGTGCTGAGCCCTGCAAAGGATCATGTGAGTGAGTATAACTGTTGCTCTTGAAATCAGTGAATTTAATTTAAAAAAAGTTATGGTCACTTTAAAGATAAGTATATGTACTTCTCATCAGAGTTTATTGCAAATTGCATTTTTTTTTACCACAGTGGATGTACATGTACCTTTTTTCCCATCTGAGCCATATACTGTAACACAGAGGCTTTGAATCAATTGCCAATATAGAACAATGATTCTGATCGGTTAACGGTCAGCTTTTTGAACATTATGTGCAAGCAAGGATGATCTTGATTGGCCATTGTCATTTTGCAACTGATTGCAAACCTTTTGTGTTATGGGGCCCTGGTATTAGTGGACACTTCAAAGAGTAAGACTAAGTAAGCCCTTTCCTAACATTAGCAAGAAGAAGGTTTCAAATATTTTTACTTTCTCCTAAATAAACATGTATCGGTACGTATACATGTAAATACCACAATGTTTACATTACATGTACTTCATGTATCTCATCCTTGAAGTTCTGCTATTGTATTAAAGCATCATTATATGAACACAATAATCATGTTTTAATGTGCAATGCATCCGCCAGTTGACATTTAGACCTGTTATAAGGTTAACATAAAATAAATTGATCCCTATTTACGGGGAAAAAGTCGTGTGCATCGTTTCAAATATGACAAATAATGCATTTTACATGTGAGAAGTAAAGTAGAAGAGTTATAATGTCATAACATGAGAAACATTTTTTCACTGCTAATAAGATAATATTGTACATGTGGATAGAAGATAGCATCGAATGACTGTTACATGTAGAGCGGTTACCATCATCGTGTTGACTGGGTGATTCCACTTCCTACCGCTACTCCCTCTGATGCACTAGAATTGTCCTGTAGCTGGATAGAAAAAAATAAAAAAATAGAAGTAATAATTAAACCAGTGATGACGATAGAAAATTTGAAGTCATGAAATCAATTTCTCATCCCCTTCAAACAAAACTGCCTGTACATTTAGTCCCATTCCTGTTGTTATACCTACACAAGGCTTTGCATTTTTTTGGTATCATATGCAATTCTCACAACAAAAAGATTTAATTTGCCATCTATCATTTCCATGTAAGTACACTATACATTCTTCACCTTTTATTTCTATTACTAAGCATATGTGCACAATATTCAAATCAAACTTTGAACATCTTCATACATTGAAAATGATTATGCACCTACATTTACATTTCTGACTTTTCATTCTTGTTACAATATTGCAACATAGAGCAGTATCTGAACGAGAAGGAAGGGGGATCAAAACAATCAAAAAGGAGAAACTGGGAAACGTGTGCAAACTGAGGGGGGGGGGGGGAGGAGTAGGAGTAGATAGACAGGTACATGTACTGTGAGCAGATGGAAGGTTGTTTTGTTATATTAAACTAAATAATAAAAATAACCTGATGCTTTAGTATCAACACACTTTTCCCCTGGCCAGAATATCTCCAAATAAAAGATTCAAAGGGCTTGGCACATTCTTTTCAACAAGGAAACTTTTTTTGTCAGGGTATCTGGTTTATCAGCAAATAAAAGAATTTGAAGAAGAAAACAAATGTTGTGCAGGCAATGAAATCTAAGATGAATGGACCAAATTGACTACATTTTACATTTTTATGTACATGACATAATTATACAAAATGATGATGAAAAGACAAACAACGTTCATATGAAAGGAAAAAAAAGGAAAAAAGAGTAAAAATGGAACAAAAAATGCTAAGAGAGAATGACCCAAAATGTAGAAAGTAATTTTATTCACATGCTTACATGTGCACCATCTGTGGAGAAACAGAAGGGCTTCACTTTAATTTCACCTTAAAAACAAGCTGTTAACTCTTGGTTGCTTTCTCTGGCTCTATACGTGGTCACTTCTTTGCCACATGTGCAATTTTGCACAAAACAATTGACACCAATTAAGGATTCTTCTTCAACAAGTACATTGACTTTCCAGATTTTACTATGCTAAATTTTAATGAATATCATTATGTAATATAAAACACAGTACAAGGGGGCTTAACAGGTTGTCTTCTTTCATTCTGAACTATATAAAGCAACATTGGGGTATTTATTTTTAGGAGTATCATTTGCTTGTAGCCTGAAAGAGACCAAGACATATTCAGGCCTTTCTTGTTTTTCGCGTTTAACAAAAATTTGAAAAAGCTTTACAGAAAAAAAGTGACAGAGTCTGAATTCTGGCAAAAGCGTGAAAGTGGCATCTTTGGATCAAACTCAAAGCAATTATTAGAAACGCCCTTCTGATTCGCAGCAGGTTATATGGCAAACAGGGAGAACATGGGAGAGCAGGCAGGCAATATAAAGCCCTCACCTCCGTTCACACTCACATTAGAGAACTAGTACAGTTTAGCGTCCACATTGGAAGAAACGACACAAGATTCATGTTAGTTGTTATAATGGTAAAGCCCCCATCACACCAAACTAGTTCTCACTACGTTCTGGAACCGTCCTAAGTACGTTGTCTCTCCGTCTAATTCCAGGACGGGGACAATTTTGAACAGGCTCATACTTATTCAAAGTTCTAGAGCACTCTCCCGTACTAGCCAGTCCGAGCCCGTCAGACCCCATGAAGTTCTTAAACAGTTGCTACTACGTTCAACTTCGTTCGCACACAGTTGAGCCCGTTTGGCAACATTTTCCAGAACGTAGTGAGAACTAGTTTGGTGTGATGGGGGCTTAACAAGCAAGCGTGCCATATCCTTAATGCAAGAATCTGATTAAATCATTGGGCCATTTTCGTTACGTAATCACATTCAATAAATATTCAAGTCTTTGATGAGTGCCTTGTTACAAATTATTTCATTCACCTGTTAAGTAATTGTATTTCAATAGTCACAATGCAAATTGCATACATTATGTGTTGTGAGGTAGGAAAAGCTTTAATGTTTGTGCTAAATAGCAACAATTTTGCATGCAATTCAAATTCTGACTATTGAAATACAGTACAATTATTCATAACAGGCTCATTAAATAATTTGTAACATCGCACCTAACAAAGATTTATGCATTAAATTTGATTCATTAATAGTGATCTGTCAGTTCAGTGACCCAATCAAAATTTTATATCAAGTGTCTCTCCAAGTTCCTCGGTCTTGAGCCATCCGTTTCAGCATTTCATACTCTGTTGCTCTACATTCTGTAATTACGTCATCTAAAAAGCCTTTACGAGGTCTTCCTCTCTCTTCTTCTTCCCATGAATACGACCTTCTATTTAATAACCTTAAATTTGATTACATTACGAAAAAAAGGTCTATTAAAAAGAGATGGGTTGTTCATAATTTCACACTATGGGAATTGTCAATACTTACATGTATGAACACTACAGTACTTTGAGATAGTATGTGATACATCTCTAGATAAATAAATACAGATCTTTTTTTCTCTCCTACTAGTTTAAAAAAAACTTACAGATGATCTAACTTCTCTGTGTAAAACAAACAAAGGTAGCACAGTTGTCCATAAATACATCAGAAATAAAACCATAATGGAAAGGCTTTTTACTTTTCTCTTTTTGTTCACATTAATTTGATATGCTTCAAAAAGAAAAGAAAGTTTTGATGATCAGGAATGATCAAAATTTGTGCAAAATATCTTACTGCTTACGGCTATTTGCTATTAAAACCCCATACATACACATATATCGTTGCTGTTTTCACGAAGTGACGGTAGTGAAAAAAATTGCGTTCACTTTGCGTGACGATTTTCCTCACTACCCTCACTTCGTGAAAACAGGGATGATATTATTACCCTCAGGCTTTTGCTCTGGCAGCCGTAATCAGCGCACAGTAAAATTGTCCTCGGCTCAACCGAAAAATATGAAAGAAATGCATGTACATGCACGTTCATTTCAGTACCCTTCACACATGTACATATATACATGAACTTCTATAAATTCCTCATATTCTCTAATCATCATCACAAAAACAAAGTTTCCCCTTGACTGGAATAATCTGCCTTTGCATGATTTGGGTGAAAGTCCAGGGATTAGAGCTTAATTGTCTTCACTTACCTTAACTTGAATGTTATTCCTAAGCATGGCTGATCTCAAGATTAAAGCCTGCAATAGAGAAAATGATGACAATTCAGTGAATTCTGCACAAACTAAACAAATTTTTTTCAATCAGTGTCAAACTCAAGAAGTCGTAAATTTTATTATGCTTTCGGAGATGAAACAGAAAATCAGGTATTGAGTGGTTTCCTCTCAATGTTCATGTACATGCTCGATATTCACATCTAAACTTTATGAACAATATAGCCGGATGGAATATAGATGTGATATAACTGTTGAGTCTGGTTATAAATGACAATGTTTATAATGGGGATCTTCAACTTCATTTGCATCATTCATCAACGCAGAGCTACTACAATATTACCATAATCCTTAGCCCCCCCCCCCCCCCCCGAACCTTTAACAAAGTGCTTGTCCCAACTGAACAAAAACAAATTATAATTACAATAAACTGTAAAACATATGTCATGCAGCATAACAATAACTGAAATGCCTCGGATAGATTCTTGAAGTAAAAACTGATAAGATTCATTTGTTTTCTAGATAAGCATCCCTTTGCATCTTGTTTACCTTTAATTTCCAGCATAAAAGAGCATAAACATGAGTTCCGCAGCTGTCAATTGTCTCTTGTACACTGCGTATAAAAGAACCATCCTCTGAGCTTTCCTAAACTCTACCAATTATAGAGGAGAAAACTAAGATTAGGCATCTTACCTTTGTTCTTCTTTGGAAAGCCTTTCCCATTAGAAGAGACTTCTGAAACGTCGAGCTTCTCAGATCAATCTCTCGGGCATACAGTATCTGAAAAGAACAGAAATAAACACAGTAAACAACTAAATTATTATAACCCTTACCAAGTTTTGTAATTTCCCCAAGTATGAGATAGATTAGTTTGTCCCGGGCTACGATTCTTAAGAATGTGACATATAAAAGCTTACATCTAAAAGTATTCAACAAAAGCCCTTCATTAGCTAGTCCCCCTTTCATTTTGTTCTTCATTTGAATATCGCGTAGAGTACATTGGCTGATAATTTACATGCATGTCTTCAATGGTAAACACTTTTTTGGGGGGGGGGGGGGCTTTAATTTGTTCAGTAGGTTACAAGCACTTTTTTTCTTCAAAGAAATTGTAACTTTCAATGAAATACATGTATGTACCGATATTAAGAGGTTTAATTCTCGATTGCTAAAAGGACTAAAGAATTCACTTTGAAGGACTCACCAAAAGACGTTAAAAGATGGGAGTTGTTGCTACCTTGTTTGGCGTTCAACAATAAGGGATAGAGCAACGTCGATCTGGCGCTGCTCAGTGGCTGCCGGGCTCACGATCAATTGGGCAAAAAGAATTTCCGTTTCGGTTTAATAAAAAAATTTGGAGTGGACTATTAGGCTATTATTATTATTATTATTATTATTATCTTTTATAGCATGGTTATAAAGGAGTTTTTTCTGAAAGACGACAATTACAGGACTTTCTCTGTTCATGTATTGATGAAAGTCTATTATTACTTGATGTAATGGAATTTGTATCTGTATTGATGACGGCAACAAACATGTTATAAAAGAGAGAATCAAAGGCAGTTCCTTTTTTATTTCTTTTCTGATCAAATTTTAAGGATATGAGTCACGTTTTGAGGGAAAAGACTTCTTTTACTACATGTGATTAAAGCCCCTTTGCACTGGTTTGACCAGGAGGGACTAGACCTCCCTGCAAGGTCACTAGCAGGTGGTTATCTCATCAAATCAGCTCTCAATTAACGTAAGAAAAAGGGCATAGTGGGGGATCAATGGGTACCGCTTAGGCATTGTTGGTTGTATAGAGGGCGCAAGTAGCTAAAAGTAGTGCAGTGGGGCTTTAAAAGAAAGGTACGTGAAGATGTGATTTGTTCCTCATTTCCAAAATCGATTGTGTACAATGCAGTATGGTGCTGAGCTTACAACTAATTGTTTACATCCAATTGATCATATTGATTTATTCACATGTATTTTCAATGGATGAACATTCATGCTTTCCCTAATTGAATTCCAATTTGTAACTGTCTGCATGGTTCAAACTTAAATATTCATGCTGTTGCACAACCACTTTCCAATTTAAAATGCAGTCAGTGAATCCATTCAGTGACTTGTTTTCCCTGCAAAATATACATTTGAACTGATTTGTGAGTCCAGCCCCATTGTGATAGTGTAGCAGGCATATACTTGCATTTATACTTGCTAATTTATACTTGCAGGTGTTTTTTAAAAAAGATTTGTGATTGATTTGATTATGATTTATGATTTTTAAAATCTATTTACCTACAGCAATAAAGCAATACATTTCAAACAATGATATTCACGTTTTACATAAACAAGAAGGGAAACTATTGCTTGTTTAAAGGGGCCAGGTATGTTCTTGTCAAGCCTATATCCCTTAGGGCTACACAAAGTAGTTTGGTACAAAGTAAAGTTCAGGAAACAAAACAAAATTACCTACAATGTATTACAGTCAATACTTTAAAACCAAAACTTAACAATTTCTTACAATATACAAACTGATAACATGAAATAGAATTTGTGTACATATAAAGACTATTTGGATGGATTTTTCATTCAAAAGAGGGTTTTTTTTTGTCTCATGTCCATAACATACATGTACATGTATATATATATATATGCATAACAAAAAGAGAGAAGACATACATGTACTGGCTCAAAGCAGACAAATGTTCCCTTTCTCAGCTCACACATGTAATTTGGTCATAGATTTATTCACAGACTACACTGGCAATATAAAACCTTTTCAGAATCTTGAAGAAAAAAATAAGGGCATCTCTTCAGAAGCTTAAAAAGAAAGGAATGTCAACTAGTCTATAATTATGTATTATGTATCTGGGTCTTTGAGGGAGATCTTAAGAAATTCTTCAACTGCAGAAGACCCTGGATCGGCTCCTCCACTAAGTGGGACTCATCTTAAACCTGCTTCAAAGTGAACGTTACTGGCTATTGTACATGTACTCCATAATTATAATTATGCATTGGGAGGGTTTGAATGGTGAATAGTCTATTGTGGGATGCTTTTTGTCAAAGAGTTAGCTGGCTTATTACATAAAACAGGGTAGAAGCATGAATGGACCCTTTGGTGAGGAGGTGCCTCCGAGAGAATCGGATTTGGAACTGGGAGGTCCCAGGTTCGACTCGAGTCTGTGAATCTAGTGCCCTTGGTGTAAAGTCAATAATCTTCATTTCTCTAGTCCCTCCCATAGGACTTAGAGTCTACCAATCACCACAAACTATTTTGACTTGTATGTTAGTAGTTCCATGAAGGAATAGTACATTCAAAATATGAGCTTCAAAAGTTGATACTCCCCTATCAATTAACATAAATTAACATATATGCACACAAACACTTCAATATTCTTCTTGTAAATGTTTGCTAGATCTAGTAATTTTCATAATATCTTATTTTCTATGTTAATGTCATCCCTATAGTCTATTCTTTAATGCATACTTGATGATAATCCAGTTTTTAATTTTCATATTTACTGTACGGTATATTAATATCATTTACAGGATAAATGTTTCTCCCACTTAAACAAAAATTGCTAGCTTGCTAGGTGCCTTGTCTGTTCCAGAAATTGGTGATCAATGCTTTCCATCTAATTCTTTCTCTGGTTCTTTGAATTGTGTTTTTCCATGTATTTTTCCTCAATTTCTCTTCTCAAATGATCCCACCCCCCTCCCCCCCCCCCCCCCCGAAACAGGGGGCAAAAGCTTAGTCAACCCTCAAAGGTTCTCATGAAAAGATCTACAGAGCAATTAGTGTACAAAGAATGTGGCCAGGGTGTGTTCTCATCCTTTCCACCCCACTCCCACAAAACAAAGGATTTACTTGAGAAAAAAAGTTAAAGATGAAGTTGAGTTCTGGTCATGCGATTGCATTGTGAAAGAAACGGTGTGGAATCGACCAGAAAAGGTTGATTATCTAACATATAAGAATTTGTGTGTATTGCAAGAATCTGGAATTATCAAAATGATAAGAAATTTAGCCAAGTCTTGGTAAAGTTACAAACACTGTGCACAGAAAGATGTATATGGGACTACACGAACAGGTGGCGTAAAAATCCTACCCTGGATTTTTACGATGTTACATGACATGTTTAGAATATGAAGGTATTTGAAGAGCCATACTTTTCAGGGAACATGTCTTATCTGATGTTCTTCCACACTTGCATAATAAGAATGATAAGGCTCACAAATTATTTTCACCTCTTCCCAGAACTCAACCTTCTCTTTAAGATTGAGTAAATCAATAATCTCTTTGTATGATACCACTTGGCCCCACCTATAGTGGTATTGTCTTTATATATAAGAGCTGTCTCCTGCTCTTGGCAGCATTTAATCAGGTGCGCTGGAAAGTTCAAAACAGGTAAATGGCACCATACAAGTGCTGTTGATTCATCATTGAATGCCAACACATGTCCAAACAATGTAATTAACGCTGTCTCGTACTTGCCCGGGGGTGTTTCACAAAGATCCCAAGTTGAACTTATCTTTAGGTTGGACTTAACAATTATGGAAAGCCGTTAGCATCTTTGAAAATGTTTAGTAAAAGTTATTTTAAAAGTCATAAAATGTTGATTCAAATCATTCATATTTTCTATTATAATGGGAGATTTCATAATCTTGATGTGGAATTTATGAAAAGTATAAAATACTTGAATTTTTGCTTTTTAATATATTTTATTTCAAGGCTACAAATGGCTTTCCATAATTTTTAAGTCCAACTTAGAGTTAAGTTCGACTTAAAATCTTTGTGAAACACCCCCTGGAAGAGATCTTTAGAAAATGGATAATCTCTGAAGAAATTGATTAATGGTCTTGGTGACAAGCCCCTTATATGAATACGCATCATTACCAGTTCTACACCAACAGCACAAATGCAAATCAAGCTTTATTGATTGTAAAGTTGCGTTCTTGGCACAGATTTGTCCTGCTTTCTGACTTAAATAAAGCCAGGGTAATAATATGATTGCAGGGCCCTCAGGGTGAACATTTGTGGAAGTGGTAGTGCATGGTAGGGATTGTGGTAGTAGTAGTAGCAGCAGCAGTAGCATTAGTTTTGAAAGATAACTCAATATCCCGACTGGCTAGGACCACCTGCGCTCATTTAAAACTATCAAAGTGACAGGATAATCTGATAGCCAGGTTTTAATTTTTTTTAAATCAAAATATGCCAAATCATTCACAGATGAAGAAAACAATTGGGACAGGAAGCTCGTTATATGATTGCATCTGATGCATCACAAATCCATCACAAATTTACAAATGGATGTACATGTATGTAAATGTTTTCGTTTTGTTTCCACATGTAGTTATGAACAAACATCAAACGAGGCTACTGAAATATGTGGAAACCTTGGCTAATTTAGACTTAACCAATTGACTTCTGAATTCTTGTATTCCCATAGGCTTAACCCTATATAGCCTGGGCTAGTTTGAAACTGCATAGCCGGGGAAGGGAATCTCGGCCGTGAAACGGCCGATCGCCGCGAAAATTTGCATGCATGTCAAGTGAGGTGTACACCAATTGTTATATACTACAAACTTAACCTTTCCCAAATACTTCCAGAGAATATCTTTTACAAAAAAGTTAACTTCCTATGAAAATAACTTTACTTTTATCTCTAATAGAAAGTGTAGACTCTATGAAACCACATACACACTATCTGTGACCCATTGTGCGGTGATACCCTTTCTAAACCGCAAAGTGAACCCATTTGTGGCATTCAGGACATGGGTGAGGTGTAATCAGGCTCTCCTAAAGATTAGGACTTTCTAATTCAATGGGTCATTAAATCTTCCAATCTTCTCTCTCACAATGAGTTTTATAACATCTCCTCGAACCCACCGTAGTAAAGGAATCGTTTGGTAACAATGAGCGGCCCCAGGTTCAATCACATCAGGAGGATAGGACAGAAGAAATCTGTGAGCTATAAAACTCATTTACTTTCTTACAAGGAAGGATTTTAAAGTTTAATAGATCAAGGGGGAACTGTTTCAAATCTTTTCTTGATGGGGTCTAATAAAAAGGCTGAAGATCTATACACAAAGAATGGGTACACACCCATTATCCATCAAAATGTGATTAAAGTAAACCCTTTTTGTACAGGAATGAATGGTACGGAGCGTTTATCATCTTTTGCCACTTAGATTGCTTGGGATCGCCAGAGTCAGTTTGTAGCTAAGACAGAGAGCTGACCAAGTGAACGTGCCGCTAGACCAACTCACATCTCCACTACCATGATTATCAGCCACAGTTTATCACTTCAGGGGGTGTTTTACAAAGATCCTAAATTGATCTTATCTCTAAGTTGAACTGAACAATTTTGGAAAGCCGTTAGCATCCTTGAAAATATTTTAATAATATTATTATTATTATTGAAAATATTTTGTAAAAGTTATTTTAAAAGGCATAAAATGCTGATTCAAATCATTCATATTTTCTATTATCATGGGAGATATCATGTTCTTGATGAGGAATTTATAAAAAGTCTAGAATACTTACATTTTCGTATATTAATATATTTTATTTTGAGGCTACAAATGGCTCTCCACAATTTTTAAGTCCAGCTTAGAGATAAGTTAGACTTCGAATCTTTGTGAAACACCCCCCAGATGTGAATGGATCTTTACAATTTTGGAGTACCTGGAGCTTTAGGGAGGTTTGACATGATGATGATAGGAGGATGAGAGTGAGAGGGGCTTCAAAGCCCTACAACAGCTGCCTTTCAAGGGCCGCAAAGACTCGAAGAGAAGATGAAAGGGTTAAATCTGAGTGGGTTCATATTACAAAGAAAGGCCTAAGGGTGCCATTTGGGAGAGCTTCATCAGTGGATGCAGCAGACCATGACCAGAACAATACACACAAATCAAAGGGATGCCGAGGAAGAAGAATCTTCCACATCCCTGGGACCTCTTGATTGCTTGTTATTTCTCTTCAAGTGGTAGGACAAGGCTCAAAATAAACTTTTTCCTGGAAGTGTTAGGAAACAAATACAAATGATGGGGGTCTGTGTTGACCATGCCCATGCTTGCATTTTTTTGGCCCTGTATCAATCCTGAATGGGTTTTGGGAGGCTGTGGGGGGGGGGGGGGGGGGAGGGTCTGTGTGCACCAGGAGCTGATCGATACATGCTCCTGCAACAATTACTCTCCAGTTATTTGTATCACTAAAGGGATTGGGTAACTTTGTCTCAGATTCTGAAACAAAATCCTGGATTTAGCTCATGCTGCAATGAAAATTATAAACCTTTAGGTCAGTCAGTCAGGAACCCCATAAAATCTACAAGCCGATCGCCTGTCTGATTATCAAGATATTTATGATTGGAAATAAAAATTTGAAAATTAGTTCTCCTAACGGTTTTCATATCACTACAGTCTATTGGGGAAAATGGGTATGGTAAAACCGGTCTCTCAAATATCTTTTACTTTTTGAGGAACTTGATGATCATTTTGAAGCGCAATTTTTTTAGGGCTTCAATATTACACTATATCACAGACACTTATAACACGTAGGGCCATGCATCTCAGATTTAACATTGTTAAACGATGCCTTTAAACCAAATTGCTAAACTAAACCTTGGACCCAACCCGATATATAACCCTAACTGTCACCCTAAACCTAACCTGCATACCAAATTGCAACCCTTATCCTAAAAGATCCTTCTGAACCTTTTTCAGTTGTTGTGCATGCTAGAGTGTGCCCCTGAAGCTTTCCAGTTTAGGTGTGACCAGCCCTTACAAAAACACCCGCATTCTACACAAGAAAATTATAAGATGGATGAATACCACAACTCCTTCAATCTGCCCCATGCAGAGGGAAGGCGGTAACAATGTGGATGCTCTTCGGAATCTTTTAACAGGATTAGAAAGTCAGCTCTATGGCATCGCTACATAGCTGGCTTTGCAAAGAATTCCTAGACCTACGAAAAACACCTCCAACACTTTTGTGAATGATGCCAAGAAACCATAGACATGTTTGTAACTTAGTGGTATTTGTAAGACTTAGAAGGTATTACTTTCAAATGTGCATCTCAGCTCAACTAATTATTATGCACATGCCAGTTCAGTTACCAGCAGGTTTAAAAGATGTTATTTTTTTCTAGTGGGCTCAATGCAGGCCCAAACAGATTCATCATTATGAAGTTTGGACGATAATTACCTTATTTGCGCTTGCTATAAGCTCTTATGAATGATTCATTTTGTAAGATGCTCTCTTTGTAGCAAACAAGGAATACTCACACATATTCATTGGTGTACCAAAGAGAAGAGGGGCACATTTACCCCCTCCCAAAAAGAAAGAAAACGTGGAGGCCTAAAAGGAATGAGAGAAGAGAACATGGAAAGAGGACACTGGGAACCGCCCCCTTACCCTTCCCCCTGATCAATGGCTTTGTTCTTCATCCAGTGCCCTTCAAATAATGACAGTGTCCCTTCTTCTTGAAACATTTTTTGTTAGTCCCCCCCCCCAAAAAAAAAAAAATAATAATAATAAAAAAATAAAAAATAAATAAATAACCAAATAAATAAAAAAAAATAAAAAATGAAGAAAAACAAATTAATAAATTTAGAAAAAATATTAAAAATATTGAAAAAATATGGTAATTGAAAACATAGATTATATCATTGTATAATTGTATAGAGAACATAAAACCTTCCCCAAGGTGTGCAATTCAAATGTTTAAAGAGAACAAGGGGAAAGAAATAGATTTAATTTCAAGGATTGCATAGAACTAAACGTAACCCACATTTAACTCTTGGCATGTGTGCATATATAGCACTGCTTCGACTTGTCTCACTCACAAGTCACTTTAGGGTCATTTCATATCAAATCACCAAACAGTTGTTTTATTTTAATGAAACTTAGTGTACTTGTTTAGGGTGATCTCACAGCACCCAATCTCAAACTTTAGGTCAATCGGGTGAGGGGTTAGGGAGATATGGCCCACCAAATTTTGAGATTTTCAGCAAAAATGGGCGTGGTCGCCTTATTTAAACCCTTGTATCTCGGGAGCTAATGGGTCAATCTTCACAAAATTGGTATTGTTGGAAGGATAATTCAATAAGGATACCAAATCTGCCATAATTTCGAAGATTTCTACATGTTAGTGTACCTTGACCTTTTGACCTTGACATTGACCTTGTGGATCTTGTGACCTTGACAACATTTTTTATGAAATGTAATCTCTGACATGTTCACTAAAACATATACAATTTTCAGAGATACAATATTTGTTATTGTTGTTCTTGTACTTTTTCATGCCATGAGCACCGAAAGGTGGACCAGTGCGCTATACAAGAAGTCACTATTATTATTAAAAGCTAAACAGTTGAAACTGCAAAAGCAGTGGGTTGGCTGAAGATGTATGTGTATTGTACATGCTGTATGACATGTTTATTATAAAGTGTACAAACTAAAACCAATTTGGAAAATAAAAATGGATGAAAAAATCAAAGACGTTAGCAGTGTTAAGAAGATGTCACATCCCTGGAATTGAATAACATTCTTTTTGAAGCCTACCTTGTTATGTGAGTCAATTCTAGCGTTGATCTGGCCATCCAAGATGAGCGTCATGAGTTCATCCTCTAAGTCTGCTTCAGAAGTATTGAATGCACTGGCCATCTTCTGCATGTCAGCTGATACATACGGGCTGAAGTACTGTGAGAGAAGAGAAGAAGAATAGTTTTGGTACCAGAGCACAATCATCATTTATTTAAACAAGTATGGTGAAACATGCTTTAGCAACGAACTGCATAGAAAGACCACCTGCCTATAAATACCAGTAGACTATATTTTGTATACAGTGTATGTACCTGTCCAGGGGCAGATTATCTTTAATCTCCTTCAAGAGCTTGAGACAGGAGGCATTCTTTGACTTCATCATCATCATCATCATCATCATCATCATCATCATCACCATCATCACCATCATCCTCATCATCACCATCATCATCATCATCATCCTCATTATCATGCTCATCATGCTCATCATGCTCATCATCATCATTATCATCACCATCACCATCATCATCATAACCCTTATCATCCTCACCCTCATCATCCTCTTCATCCTCATCCCCACCATCATCCTCACCCTCATCATACTCATCCTCCTCATCCTCATCGCCATCATCCTCATCATCATCCTCATCCCCATCATCATCATCCTCACCATCATCATCCTTATCATCCTCATCTCCATCATCATCCTCACCCTCATCATCCTCACCCTCATCATACTCATCCTCCTCATCCTCATCGCCATCATCGTCATCATCATCCTCATCCCCATCATCATCATCCTCACCATCCTCATCTCCATCATCATCCTCACTCTCATCATACTCATCCTCCTCATCCTCATCCTCATCCTCATCATCATCACCATCATCACCATCATCACCATCCCCATCCTCACCATCATCATAATTACTACTATTATCGATAGATAGACTAACCTGTATGAGAGCTCTGTTTCTGATCTGTGAGTAGAGGACCGTGACATGTGGAGCCAGATACATGTCAAGGAGCAGATTATCTTTAATCTCCTCTAGGAGCTTGAGACAGGAGGCATACTTTGACTCATAGAACATGAAGATAATATCTCTCAGCTGTGGCTCCAGCTCCAGGAACAATTTGAAGGAGCTGAAAAAGTAAAAACATATAATTATTCTTAGTGTTACAAATCTGATGAATATTCATATTGAAGATAGTTAATCTAGTGCATGTGTATGGTTGATGTGAATTGGTGAATGGGAGATCAATTAAAGGACCAAGTAAGTCTTTTGAATGGTGACGTTGAAGGTCGTCCCCAGACTTAGATATTAATATCTGATTGATACACAGCTGTATAAGCCAAATTATATGGGCTAAACTTGGGTTAGTTGCTAACATTTTTATTTTTTCTTACTTTTTTTGTTGGGTGCCCTGAGATGCTGGAGGTGATCTAACGACCGGGGTAATAATATATCTCTAAAGCGCTTGGAGACATCGCTGATGTATTAAGCGTTATATAAAAGCAAAATATTATCATTGTATCCTATACTGATCACAAGGTGGCGCTGTTCACAGTCCAATCACTATGGTCAAAAGTTGCCATCTTCAGGATGTTCTACAGTAATGTTCATGCACACCTTAGCTGCCCAGAGCCAACTGATTATGTATCTTCATATATGCATGACACCAGGAACTCTGAGCATCGCGCATGGCGGATTCATAACCAGCTGTCCCTGTGCATGACCCTCACTGCAGAATGTCCACAAAATCAGAAAGAACATTATGGGAGAGTAAAGCGCTTTGAGACATCGTTGGTGTATTAAGCGCTATATAAACGCAAAATATTATTATTGTATATTATACTGATCACAAGGTGGCGCTATTCTGCAAAATGAATTCGTCATAGAGATCTCTGTCGCTTGAACCCTAGCACAGCTTTGACCCTGCACGAAATACAGATTATGATCACTGTAGGCCCTTGCGCACCGGAAGAGCACAGAGTTGCATACAATTATGTCTTTAAAACAGATTTGGAAAAATCCATGGTAACATCATCTTTGCTACAAGTAAAAAGTTAGATTGAGGCATTTTTCATTGCCACAGATGATAGTCACACGAGAGGGGATGGGACATTATAATATAGTGTAAGCCTAGTAGGGGTTCCAAGAACATTAGAGTTACTGAGGTGTGTGCACAAGAAAATATGCCCGGCATTATTTTCAAGACAGCTGGTTTGTATTTGCTGTCTGACATTATAATGGCTATATTATTCATGCATAAAATTTGCTCTGCCAGCTGCATGATAATATTATTCAGGCATAAAATTTGCTTTCATTTTACTAACAGCTGCATGAACAGAAGAAACAGAATAAATTCAGATATTTAATTGAATATCTTGGCCCAGTCTTATAAAGGAGTTGCAATTGATAATAAATAATTTTACAATTGATATTAATCACAACTCTGTACTAAAAAGAGAGGAGCTGCGGTGGATATCAATTGCAAAAAATATTTGTTATCAATCGCAACTCTTTTATAAGACGGGGCCCTGGAGTAGGCACATTATTACCTGCTGGAGATCACATTTTTCTGTAGTTCTTGTCGATCAAATGAAGCTAAAGCACAGAACCCACCATACATAGCTACATTATTTGGTGACATCAGCTGTATATAGTGATAGGAAAAAGAAGTTCTTGTTGTTCTAAAAGAACGTCGATTGTTTCATAAATACTGATGACAAATACATGTAAGGTTATTGTTGAGTCTTCATAGATTAGATTACAAAGGTTGGATATAAAAACATATAATACAGAGAAAACATTTTGGGAAAATTTATCATGCAAAATCTTACAATTGCCCACCATCATTTAATGACTCAAATAAAGATATAAAGAGTTTATTACAAGAAGCTTTTCATGACTTGAAAATGTTGTAAAGAGGGTATTTATTTTGATTGAGTAGTTTTCTGAGAGTATTTGGCTTGTTAAATATTGGCAAACACTGGTCAGTGCAAGTACATAATAGACCATTTTAGAAATGTAACAATTTAATGCATGCATCTTTGTGGAGTGTCTCGATACATATTATTTCATTTACCCATTACAAAGAATTGTATTTCAATAGTCAGAATGAAAATTGCATAGGTACATTAGATGTTGCTAGGTAGGAAAAAAAGGTATGGCTAGCCCAACCTAACAACGCGTCATGTGTGCAATTTGCATTCTGAATATTGAAATACAATTATTCATAATGTGTAAATGTGTAAATCATATGAGAATGAAATAATTCACCTCCAGGCACTTAACACTTTCACAGAGTTTGCATTAAATTTGGTTTTCAGTTATGGCATATTAAAACATGGATGTTCTCGAAAAATTAATATTTCAATCTATGATGAATCTGTAATAATATAATATTGGATATTTATATAGCGCACATATCCACCATGCATGGTACTCAAGGAGCTCCAGCTATTACCCTGGCTCTGCTAGGCAGCCGATTTTGGCGCTCACAGCATTCAAGGAATTTCTGCCTACAGGCACCTATTTAACACCTTTGTAGAGAGGGACTCGAACCGCAGACCCTGTGATACACAGTCCAATGATTTATTCACTAGACCACAACACCTCTATACCTCTTCATAGGGTAAACTTACATCAGGAAAGTCACAATGATCAAAGGAAGCTTGCAGGAAGTACTTTGCCGCTGGCTTGTATTTCTTGGTAGCTAGCTCAGCTAATCCAGCAGCACACTTCAGCTTGGTGGCTACCATTAAATTGTCTTTAGTATCTTTCTGTCAGGTCACAAAAAAAATTCATAAATAACATTGATCATCCATGAAAACAGAGGCCTTATTCTGAAAACGATGTTTTCTTTCATGCTTGGGGAAAATGATGTTAGTTTTCATAACAGACTCAAATTGCGTGGAGCTACCACTTGTAATTGGTGCTTGCGCAGATGTATCTTAAAATTTTACACAAACAAAGCCAGCTGTGAGTAGCTATTAACCTATTATTATTTTTCTTGTTTTGTTGTTGTTGTCACAATTAAAATCGGTTTCCTAACATAAAAGATATTATCATTACCAGAATACCACCCCAAAATATTACATGCAATACAGATTTCCCAAATTTCAAAAATCTATGAAACTCAAAGTATAGACAAATTCAGTAAAAACATACATGTAGGTGCATATGAAAAAAATATTTGAAGTGTTTTCTCTTCTGCTTTGATATATTAAAGTTTTATAATATAAGAATAGGACAGCGCTTAGAGACATTTGTATTAAGCGCTATATAAAAATTAAATATTATCATTATTATTATTAACTCGATATGCTTAGATTTCATGAACTACCGGTATACCCTTAGTTTAACTGCAATGTGTTATCTTGGCTTATACACAAATTGATGAAAAGAAGACTAAAGATTATTGGACTAAGTGAGAAGAAAACAAATATAGGAAATGAAAATATTTGTATAAATAAACGTTAGCTTTAAATAATGAACTATTCAAGAAAATATGTTGATGTTCTATTTGACTTACCTCTGACAGTTCAGGCGTTGCCTCTGCTTTGTTGACATAGCTTAGCACGTGAGACCAATTCTGGAGATGAATGCTTACCTGATAACAACAAAAATCATTCAAAATTTCATCTTAACTCTTTTTATATGACCCTGTGCCACATTGTATTTATCAGGGGATGAATAACTAAAGGCTTCAAGACTATTTAGTCAAAACCGATGTTAACAAAACGGGTGTCATGGAGCCACTCACGGCCGGAAATGGGTGATTTTGGAAATCCACTGTATTGCACGAAGCAATCCTTCCCTCAAGTGGTGCACACATGGCAAACAAGTGAACATGCAAAAAGACAAAGACAGCAACCAAAGTATTAATGTAACACAATCAGATAACAGGCTTCTTGCTCTGAACAACACTATGTGTTTCTACACTGCTCATTGTATTGAAAGGTACATCTTACAAAGTTTCATTTCAGATTCAACCTTGCAATATACCTAAGACTACACAGACATGGCCTTTTGAATATCCTTTCTACTGTAAAACAAGAAAATATGCATACAAATTTCACAAATTTTGCGAGTGGTCAGATTTGCGGAAGCTTCATGCTACAGAATAATGGAATCACAACATAACTTAGTGTAATTGTGTGAAGTATTTTCCCCTGAAAATGGCTGTCCTTAAAAATTCATGATTGTTTTTTGCTTTTACAGTCTTGCATCAATCTATATACATCTCCTCTCTGTTAAAGAAAACAACCACTAAACATGCCAACTATAAAAACTTGTGAGAAGCCTTTAAACATCTAGAATGTACTTACTTTAATAACATTGAGACACATGTTGATGATATGTTTGGGACTGGTACAATAGTCCCTGGCCCTGGAGTAACACTTGAGTGCATTGCTGAGGTCTCCTTGGTCTAGGTAGTGATCACCTAGGTCATCATGACCCCTCCTAGATAGGTTAGAGAGCAGAAAGGGGAGGGGGGATGGATACAATCATCTTCAAATAAGAACAATTGATGTTTTAATCTATACTTGGTACTCAGCTTTGTCGTAACTTCGCAAAAGAAATGATCTATCTTGTAAATTAACATGTCAGATTGTTCCTCAAGTTTCACATTTTTGTCCCCTTTCATTTTCTTGCAAATGGTTAGAATAAAATGTCAAATTATATTGTTTAGGTCACACATTTAACAACAATTTATCAATAGTAAATCTATTTTGTATAAGTCTACAATATCTAAAAATTTTTTTTACTAACCCGATCATACCAACAGGTATTTTCACAGAATATGGGGGTTTGGGCTGACCTACAAAATTACTGTACCCAGTGTCATTCAATAAATTCTTCTCAAAATCATCCGTAAAATGAGGTCATTGAAAAGGATATTTATCTATAAAATCAAATGACATAAATTAGGAATTTATATTCTGCTTCACAATAAAACAGAAGAATTTCATCAAACTGATTTCATTAAACAGCTGTAGCTACAGGTTTGTTACAGTTGAAACATTTTGGCACATACATGTAGCACTAACTGGCCTCAATTCATAAATTACCTTAGACCTTGGTAGAAACGCATAGGATATGGGCACAGCCTCATGTCGGATTGGCATACAATAATATGCATATACATATATACTTATTTTAATCCATGGTAGGTTCAAAACCATGATTTACACTATGTGAAAGATTGATCCTCCTCTTTGAATGTGGGACACTGAGGTCAAAGGTCACATTTACCTGATGCTCTCTTTGATAGAGTTACTCTTGTAGTTCTTGAGATCCGTGTCCAGCTTCTCCAGCTTGAGAGCTGCTTTCTTATTGGTTGTTTCAATCCATTGAGTGTCCAGAGAAGGTATGTTGTGCACTACACCGGCTACGGCATCGGGTAAGACCGATGCATTGGATCTGCAATGGTTGGTAACAAGAACAAAAGGAAAGAGATTGACAATTATTGCATTAACTGATAATTTTTGTTAATGTGTGTGCAAAGAAAGTTGGTAGCAAATGACTGAATCAGTAAACCACCAACTGTGAATATACTGGAGTGTAAATGAAATAAAGAGATTGTAAAAAAAAATGATATTCCTAAAAACGTTTTGTTTTAAATAGCCCTTACGTTTAAATAATATATACAGGAGGGGAACATTTTTTTTTTTTTTTAAATCTGAACGTTTTTTTGTTGAAGAGATGGGATGTATCAACTTGCTAAAACTCAAAGCAATCCCAATTTAGTGCAAATATAGCCTTCAAAAAATAGATTCCATTTTGTGTCGCTTGGATTCAAAAGTAAATAATGAGTTTACAGTGGATGTTGGTACTCTGTTGTGTACTTAACTCAAAAGACATAGATTTACTGCAGCTCTGCCAACAATTTCATGTTACAAAAGAGACAAAATATCCACTAACCAACTCTTAGCAAAGGTATAGTAAACTAAATTATTCATACCCGTACTAAGTTTTTGTAATTTTAAAAGTATGTGAAAAAATTGATTTGTCCAGATGTATGTTGACCTATTAAAGCTTACACTGTACATCTAAAAGCATTCAATAGTCCACCTTCCATTCTTGAGTTATGAAAAAGACACACCATTTTTATTTTTTACAAGGAAGGGTATTAATAATTTAGTTGTTAATGATATATTTTTTTCTTTTTTCTTCTTCAAATAAAGTCTTTATCCAATTTTTCTAAAAGCATAAAACAAAAGAAGCAAATGTACAAAATGATGGATACATACATTTGACAAAGAGAGGTACAATGAAAAACAAGATTCTAGTATTTAGATAAGTTGGACGCATATAATACAGTAACTGTATACCCGTATACACTATATAATAATAAAGAGCTACAGAAGAATCAATTGATGAATTGTTTCCTTACACAGCATCAGTGAGTTTCCTGTGTACAAGCTGGTACATGTGTGTATTGTAGGTTGTCTGTGTGTAGTTCAGTGCCATCCGAAGAGACTCAATCTTGAAGGCTGGACAGTGGAGGGCGACAAAGAGGAGTCTGTTGATTTTTGCCAATCCCATGTAACTTACTGCATAAGCTTCCACATCCTAAATTCAAATAATAAAAACAAATATCAAAAAAATATAACAGATAGAACTAAATTGTCATTGTGTATGAATAAAGAAAATACAAAATATAATTAAAACTACCGGTAATCATGAAACAAACAACGACAAAAAAGGTATTTCTTTCATTCCAGCTCGATATTCATTTGGTATCAGACTACCAGTACACACACACATAAAGCTATCACATTAAAGGTACTTTGTCCCATTTGCAGGCCAAAAAAATGAAAAAGTTAAATTCCAACTGCATTTGAAAGATAATACTAATTTAGAACTTCCCTAAAAAAGGTGGGGCTTGAAAATGTCTTCAAGTGGGAAAATAATGACTATTAGTTGTCAAATCGACTTTAGGGCTATAGAGCCCAAAAGTAATAGTCTTGATTTTCAGACAAGTGTACCGAATGGTCATACGTTTTATGCTGCGCAAAGATTCAATCGGTTTAATCTTGGCCATCACAAGAAGTGGGTTATTGATGTAGACAAATGCTCATGTACCCTTTACAATTCTTTTCATGTATGTTATTACCAAAGAAGAAAAAAAAGCTAGTCAGTCACTCAATAGTGTCTGACAGTGAAGTCTAGCAAGTAAACGGGTTTCCTTGCATAATTTGGATATGAGGACACTGCTAACGTTTAAATTTCACAGATAGGACATACATGACATATTCATAATTCCTGCAAAGTTCTACAGCATTTGAGGTTGGCTGAAAAAGGGACATAGTACCTTTAAGTGGTTAAAGTGGCATGTATGAATGTATTCTTTTATGAGGATATTAGTTGTGTTATTTAAACCAAATTACCCATCAAAGATACACATTCATGTTGCAGCACCATTGTGTTCTGTACTATACAAAGTATGGAAAAGACCGAGTGACGCTTGAAATCTGGCAAGAGCATTCCACATGTTAGGAGTCATGGATACCTGCTATTATCGTTAAAGAGTAGCAGTTACAGTTACAGTTTCATGTATGTCCTAATAGCTATTTTATGGTTTCAATATGCTGTCAGCAAATGTTTTCATATATACAGTGTATATATATATATATATATTTTTTTTTTTTTTTGGGGGGGGGGGGGGGCAAACAAGTTGAAAGATAAAATCACCTTCAAACTCATTTTAGCATTTAAACTTGTGTTGTTGTTCTGGGACCCATTTCACAAATTTTTTCAATGACAAATGACAAGTCTTCTGATAACCAATCAGAAGCAAGGATTTCAGTAGCTTATAACAGAAACTGTCATTTGTCATTGATTACAAGTTTTTTTAAACGCCCCCCAGGAATGAATTCTTACCAGTGTTGGATTTTCCACGCTGTACCTCAATTCTTCCTGTGAGTCAGAGCCCTCTCCTTGCATATCAACCTGCATTGGCTCTGCAGGGCCCTGTACATAGAGGAAACAACAAGGATTGTAATTATATAACAATATGGAGAACGCTGTGGATTAGATAACAGACGATGGGGGTGTTTAACAAAGATTTGAAGTCAAACTCTACTTTGGACTTAAATATTATGGAGAGCCATTAGTAGCCTTATAATGAAATATAGTCAAAAGCAAAAGTATTTTAGACTTTTCATAAATTCCACATCAAGAACATGAAATCTCCCATGATAATAGAAAATATGAATGATTTGAATCAACATTTTATGCCTTTTAAAATAACTTTTACACAATATTTTTAAGGTTGCTAATGGCTTTCCATAATCATTAAGTCAAACTTAGAGATAAGTTCAACTTAGGATCGTTGTGAAACACCACCCTAATTTGGTAGTATGCTCAAGGAAATTTACCTTCAGGTAACCTAACAGATGTGCTAGCAAAACATTATAAAAGTAATAATAATAATAATGGTTATGGTGATGATGATAATAATATTAATAATGATACAGATAATGATCCAATACATTATTGACACCTGTAAAACTAATCATCTTTTTTGCCCTTTTCTTTGTATACATATTATTTTTGTAATAATTTTTTCTTCATGCATGATATATCTGTCTATGCTTGTCCTTATTTTTTTCTGTCAACTCAAAACATCTTTTATGAAATTTGTCTTTTTGAATGAATGTAGACGTCTGTTTACCTGTTTGTATCCATGTACCATGTACATTGTAAGTACCACAACTCTACATCGCTAAGTGGACATTAAAGATGAACTCTTTGAAGCTTATGAACCTTATTCAAGTTACTTTTTTGTCACTCTCCATCCAGATGAGTCTTGAAATTTGAAATGTGTTTCTCTGACAGGATAGCATTTACGAGGGCATATCACTGCCATTTGCTCTCACTAAGCCATGATCAGGTCCGAGAATGAGGATCGTCTGCATTAACGAGGATTTCCTCGTAAACTCTGACAAACTGCGTCCTAAAAAATAAGGATTGTCCGCATTTTCACGAATTTTTTTTTTGCGCTCTGCGGCTTTTGGGTTTGCGATCTGCATACTGGCAATGCTAAAAAACGGCTTCTACGTAATAAAATACCCCCACTGCCCCAGTTCACCGTCTACTTTTATGGGCTAAAATCATCCATCTGTCCGCGTTAACGAAAACAACTTTTGTATAAGCGGACAACCCTTATTCTCGGACCAGCGTCCCTACTGATTGATGATCACCAGTTGTGAGGTCATAAATAAATAGAGGACCTTTTTCTCCATGCAAATCCGCATTTTCGACTACAACCATGACAACTAAGTCTAGATTTTGGTGGAGTTTACTGGCATAAATTCGCCATTCTGAACTTGTTTTGTCAGTCGAATGCCATTTAGTGTTATTATGGGGGTTCAAATCTTTCTATTGATGTAGTTATCTCAATATTTGGGATCGTCTTCAATCATACTTAGGAAGTTAGGCCAACACCTCCACCGGTACACATCCTGACATACAAATTACAGCAATTTAAATATGTGGGACTGTAAAGTGTAGTGTAATATACACAGTGCACGTATTCAATTAAAATATTCACTAACAAAGTACCTCTGCAACACTCGCTCCTATAAAAATTGATCATATCTGCCAATACTTGCACACAAATATATTATTTTGTTGTTATATTACCTGCATATACATAGGAAGCGGCATTTTTCCTGGTGATTTCTGAATTTCGACGTGAAAGGAAAACTGGATTTCGGCGAAGCTAGCCAGGAAAACAAAAGAATTTGTGCTATGGTGTCTTTACAAGAAAATCGGAAAATGAATGTACAGCACGGGTGATAAAGAGAAAAAAATTATGTATAATCATTTAACACTAGTCTCGAATGTGAAGGAAAAAAGTGGCATATATATATATGTATATTATAGCAGAACAAATTATTTATAAATTGGCACATTTCAAGCGTTGAAAACGTCTAATTTCATTCTAAAGTTGTAATTATGACACACCCATTTAGGAACACGCGATTCCACGGAGTTAAGCAAACGAATCCTACGGACAATTCTTTAAAAAAAAAAATTGAGATTGAACTAAACAAAATACTGAATACAAGTTTCAAGAGTTGCAAAATGTTACCAAAGCTTCAATTCTTTTAAAGCATAGCTCTGGTCCTCATCCAATACTATATATTATACCTTGATGCGATCGCGGGGATATTTCTACTTCTTCTTCTTCTCTTGTTCCTCCTCCTCCTCCTTCTCGAGTCCTTCTAGTTCTTGTTGTTGTTGCTGTTGTTGTTCTTTATTTCTTTATTTCTTTATTTGTTCTCTGTTCTGCATAAGGCTCTTCAGTATGGTCACGGCATTTACGGTGACGGTGACGGTGTAGTTCTCGCGCTATATTTTAAAAAAAATCGGTATTTAAAAATCTGATACCACCAATGGAAAGAAAAGCCTAAAATTACCCATAATTTTGTATTTGCTATGGAATGGGGTGTGACATTATGCAAACATTGACAAAAGATTTTGCAGCATTTTTCGTCCGTTGAGAAAAAATATGAGCTCACCGCAGTGGCGGATCTAGGGGGGGGGGGGTACAGGGGGCACATTTTCATTTTTGTTATTTAATTGGCCTTATATGTTTGATGGATCAATTTTTGTAATATATCGATCAGCTGTAACCTCCTGTGCGCCAATTAAGGTCTCAGTTTTTTTCAACGACTTTTTTGTCACTAGTTTTTGGGGAGAGATAAACATCCAAAAGCATAGAGAAAAGAGACAATATTCAAACCATCATACAATATAGTGGTCTTTAACTGGAAAAGTTGTAGAAATCAACAATAATTGTGAGCTCCAAGTAGTTTTTCAATAACTGATTGATTTTTGTATCTTTAAAGAATGTATTATTATTATCATTTTTGTTATGATTATGTTTTGTTAGGGGGATAGAAGGGGGAGGGGGGGGGGGTCTTTAACATTCGGAAATGGAATAATCAGCAAACCGAAGTTAGTCTTTGACGGTGCATGGCAAGGTGGGGCTGTATCACTGAACTCTATGCGTAATAAGGGTATCATTACAATATAGCGATGCCATATTTGAATAACATAATAAATGAAATTTGCATCGAAAAGCACAATCTTAAACCAAATAAAAACAAGAAGCCTCTTCTACTATCTCTACAATGCCCACTTTATTGAAACGAAGACAGGAGTGTGTGTGTGTGGAGGGGGGGGGGGGGATCTGGTCCCCGCTCCCGCTTCCCATTAAAAATATAAGTGAGATAAGTGGTCATGTTTTGCGACAACATTGCTCCTTTAAAATTAATTTAAAGCAAAGAAATGCAACTCTCACAATAGCCTAGTGTTCCTTGTAAGAATGAATTGCCCGGTCTTTATCCCTTTTGCTCTTATTTTAAACCAATTCATGACAAATTTTGTTGTGTGTGTGCTGCTTTATTCCATCACTGCAGTCCACCCCTCTCCCCCAATGATATCTAGTTTTTTTCCAGACAAGCCTGCCTCTCCTGCAACTGAAAGTGCCCCTTCTGTCATAAAACAACGGCCCCAACTGCAACATCAAGATATTTCAATTATCATTTGTTTTTGTTTTTTTAATTTCTTTCTCGTTCCTCAGCCATAATTCATACTTGACAAGTAACACATCACATAAGATACCTGCCCACACAATCATTTCATTTTGTTTCCAATTCACCAGGAGACAATATATTTATTAAAAAAACAAAATCTGTACATACTTCACAGGTTCGACATCTAGAATAGGGAGCATCACTTAAATTTTTAAAGATTTTTGTACTGGATTTACTTTTATACCTCTGCAAGAAGATTGTTGACATGTGGTGCAAAACGATGAAATTCCTTTTATACCATTCAGCAACCATTCAGTATAGCATCAGAACCCATTAATTGTTTGTTCGAATATCGAATATTGTTTACATCGAATATAGAATTTAAAATATCGCTATCAAGTACCCTTTTCAACCTCATTCAACTTTAAGGTCTAATATAGTGTTGTTGCTTATAACTTGGAGGTTGTTTTTGGTTCTGTGGAATTTTAACAATGCACCCTCTACACAAATATACAGATATAGTGTACAAACAAAACTCTTCTGAGATTTAAAAAATTCTAAATGAGATTCTTCATTTTCTCCCTTTATTCCCCTAATTCATACAAAACTTACACAAGGTTCTGATTGGCGTATTTTTTAACATACAATGTACAGATACATGTATATATACATTGGCACCACTAACAATTCCAATTTCCTGTTTATAAGCAGCTCAAGATGTTGTAAAAATAAACATCCATGACTTTCTGATACATCAAATGTTGTTTCCAGGAGAACACCAAGAAGTATATCATTATGTACACTCAACAATAACAATGGATTAACAGATAAATTTGGACTTTACCCATCTTTCCCATGCCAACCTACACTACAAAGGCGTACAGACACATTTTCTTGAGGGGAGCTGGCGCTTTCTGCCCAAATATCAACGCTTCGGTTCCAAAACTTTCCGCACATGAGCAAAATTTTGAAACTCTTATATTGTGAAAAGTTACAAAAATTACATGTTTGTGCACCTGCCCGAATATTCAAATATTTGGGCATCCTGCCACCAGATTATTAGATGGTGGTTGTCTGAATATCTGAACTTTCAAACTCCCCAGGGGGGCTGCAGCCACCCTAGCCCCCGCCTTGTACACCTATAACTACCACATTTCTTTATGTACTCATCCAATTACATTTAAACAAATCATATAAAAAAGCTTTTTTTAAAGAAAAAGAAGTTATTATTAATCTCGTCATCTAGTGCAATTAAAACAGTTTTATAAACTATGCACATGTTACTTGAAATTAGCGTAGAAAGCCATTTCAGAATCCAGGCAGTAAACTGCCACAACCAAATTGAATCTGATGGGTCTAGCATTTCTGTGGCATGTGCTGTATATCTGTATTTTGTAACACTCGGATAGTGGCTAGTGCTGCCTCAGCTATGTATTATGTACCCCCCCCCCCCCCCACACTGCCTTTTGCATTCATTAATTCACTTTATTCACTGGTACTGGTGTTCTGCAGTGTGAGTTTTGTGAGGTGGTTTACAATTTCACATCTGAATAGTCAGCAATACCATAGCAGCAAAGGTGGATATTAACCACTTCCAGTGCCTCAAAGTTTATGAACGATCAAATATTACATTTCAGTTGTCTAATACTTAATTTCAAAGTGTTTCAAGTTGAAACTAGGCTTGAAACAGGTTTTTATATATATTTTTATACCATAGGAGGTTGATATGTTAACCGTTAAATAATATTTCTGAATCAAAATCAAAATAGTGGAGAATGTTTAGGGGGAAATTTAACAAGAGACAACCCCCCCCCCCCCCCCCCCCTTTCCCCAATAAAAACCTTGTGCCATTTTGATATCATTAAACACTACATTCAGTAAATGTCCTTTCTCCGGATATAGAAGGAACATGCTAAATTATATTTTCTTTTCTTCTTCTTTTGAGAGGAGGGGGGGGGGGGGAAGGGGGGGGAGGTGAAATGGTGTATATTTCTTTGTTATCTTATCTACATGTACATGCAACGTTACGACTGAACTGTGTAAGAATTTGAGGTTCTCTACGGTTCAATACTAGTACATTCCAACGCATCTCCCAAACATTAATTATGTCCTATCTAATCGCTAATCGCTTTCACCCAGTCCGGAGCGTGTCAGGGCTGCCTCCAAGTGTTTCTAATCAATACACACATGTTCTTCATGAGCTCTGACAAGCCTATAACACTGAAGTCTACATAAGGCCATTTCTCCCTTTCTAAATACATTTTGTAGTATTTTCATTTGAATTCTAAAAAGAGACAGAAGAAAAAAAAGATGAAAATAACAGACTTGATGTCTGTACGTTGACTCGGGTCTATTAGTAAAAAGTCATATTTTGACGGTGAAAACCACTGGTTTCTGTGCTGAGGGGGTCGCTCCTTTCTTGAAGAGGGCTTTCTGGACGACTCCCGGATCAATGCCTGAGGGTACAGTTCCTTTGGGCATGCTTTCAAATGGTAACTTAGGATTGTTCTCAGGTCTCATGCCCCTGAAATAGAAAGAAAGAAAGAAGAAAAAGAATTTACAGCTTGAGTAATCAATGAGTAACCGTTCGTGTCATACAATCTATAGATACATTAAGAAGGAGTTGGTATAGTTTACCAATACCAGTACAATGCAATGTGAAACACAAATCAGCATGCATTCATGATTTTTTCCCACTATCCTACAATCAGTGAATAGAACACACTAAAACTTGAATGATGGGCTGGTGAAACAAGAGGAGCAAATCTAACACCTTTAATGACCATTTTCTTCATAACTTTTTTCATTAAAAAGATGTGGAATTGTGTTTACCTCCATATAACATACTTGTACTTGCGAGTTAGCCATAAATTGCACAGACTCCACCCCCCCCCAACCCTCTAGTAACTTTACCATGGTGGGAAGCGCAAGGACTAGAGGACACTTTAGAGGTTGTATACTTAACCCTTACTGTACTGGGGGGGGGGGGGGCCTGGGAGGCCCCCCCCCCCTCGACATTTTCGGAGATTGCGCCGCAACCGCTCGGAATTTTGAATTGTCGTTTCATGACTTTTTTCCCTCAAGTCTTACGCACATTTTGATACCATTTTCGTCGAAATCGGATATACCTGTAAGGTGTTACATAACAATTAGTATGCGCATGTCATCAAAAAAGTGCTATAATTGCGTATATTCATGTACAAGCAGAAATGTGAAGATATGAATTGATATCAAATAGGCCTGTTTACTAATGTATTCACGGACCTTTAAATTTGCACACGGTTGTAAGCTCTGGCAAACAAACCGAGCGCAGTGTCTGCTACGGCCCTGCTACACACACTTTGTATACGGCGATGTGGGGAATGCGAGGAAAAAAAGGCTGATCATCGTCCTAATAAACTTCGTTTAAAACTGTTAGTTTTCCAACCTTAGGGTATATAATTAAAATAAATATAGTTTTTCTCAGTTGTACATGACAAATCTTCGATTTTATTTTCCGAAATCCGACGAAATATCGCAAAAATGGGAGGTAAGCATTGCTGTTACGGCACGTGTAACAGCGATTCACGGTACGCAGACAGACCCCATATGAATGGTGTGTTTTTCATCCCGTTCCCCAAACCAAAGACGAACCTGGAGAAGTGTAAAATATGCTTTGAGTTTCTTTCTGTCGTAGTCAGTTCTATTTACTATCAGGTAGTTGAAAATGTCGTATAATCCGAAATCTGGTATACTTTCAAAGTTCTCGGTGTAGCCGGTGATTTTCATTGGGTCGTCGAACGAGCACCCCGCACGCTCCAACTTCTCCCGCAGCGACCGTGCGGAGTCGAAGCTCGCAAGGTCCGGGTCTTGGGGCAAAGCGATATCGGCCACAGCAGTCGCAAGTTGAACTAGTTTCTGTTTGTTGTACCCTGATGTCGTAACTCCTCTCTTTCTTAAATAATCGGTGAGCTCCTTCACTGTCCACTGCGAAAACGGCTTGCTGGAACTACAACTCGATGTCGAAGGCGATGCCATTGTAGAAATTAGGGTGAAAAAACGTCGCGGTCGCTAGCAATGGCTTTGTATGTGTATAGCGTAGCGGGCATGGAAAAACAATGTGGCGACCGTGCCGCACCACGCAAAGCTTGCCCTACGTAGTAACAATCGCTAGGGTGCGAGGGATTATGACGTCACTCGCATATCACTAGTAAACAGGCCTATTGCTTTTATATGTTTCTCAAAGTAACTTGATGTATTTTAGAACAAAAGAATACATTATAAATAAAACAATATATATAATAAGAAATAAAAAACAATAAAATACATAAGAAAATAAATAGTTGAAAATCGCATCAAATTTGCATAAATTATCATTATTAATTACTTCAAATAACTATTTTGTGTTAGAAAAGAAGTGTCATATGGATAATGAGTAACAATATTCAAAAGGTGGAGTCTGACAATTTTTGTAAGGATTCAAGTTCCCTATATATATTTCCAGATTTGATATTCATGGTTGCGTATTCATAATTTATGCAAATTAACCTATGCATTTTCAAATATCACAAAAATAATGATACCTCATGAATTTGAGATGAAGGAAACATTTATTCAATACATTTTCATCATTCTTCACAAGTCTACAGACAAATATGTAGAGTTTTCTGTAAAATGCATAAAATTAGCATTTTGCATAATTAATTAGGCTATAACGACAAAAATTTGCATATTAGCAAAAAACTAATTATACTATCTTGTTCCTTACGTAAATATCTACAAACGTGCAAATTTTCGCGTTCATTGGACATTCGACGGCCGAGATCATAGGGGGGGGGGCCTCCCAGGCCCCCCCCCCCCCCCCAGTCAGAGAGTGCTCGAAATAGCCCAGTACAGTAAGGGTTAAAGGGCCATCCAACCCTTGTAAGAAGTTCATTTGAGGGCAGGTCCAAGCTATTTGCTTTGTGACGTACGGGACATTCAGAGACTTTAAACAAGAAATAACAATGGATGACATTATTTATATGACTATCTTTTGGTATGAGTCTGTGGCTATTATGGGCTAGTTCATTTGTGGAAAGTTTTAGTTCTGACCAATTCATAAATTAATTTTTAATGTAATTAATGTGCTGCGTGACGTACGGGACCAGAGAATTTCTGACTTTTTCAAAAAAAAGTTCATCATAAAAGTTCTCTGAATTTAGTAAGTTATGAGATTTATGGTAATGATATCTTAATTCATTATGGAATCAAGAATTAATCACAACTATTACCATATTTTTCTGACCTTTCGTTATTATGTAATATACCAAAACATAAATGTGTGCATGTGACGTACGGGACACGTGACGTACGGACAACTTTTCCCTATGGGAAAATGCATTGAAATGAAGAATTTTCGTCAAAATTTGTTAAATGTGAACAATTTTAACTTAAATCAGTGACAATTAGAGTGTTTTAGAACCCAATTAGATCCTCTGACCATCACTTAATATCATCTGTGTTAATTTATGAGGTAAATCAATACAAATATTACTTTAACAAAGAAAACAAATTGAATTAATATTCAATTATTCATACACACTATATTACCATTTTTATTCCATTTACCCATCTATCATGTGCAGTCATTCTTCTTTTCTCATTTCTTTTATCCATTCCATTCAACATTGCAAAATGTTTTTAAATAATAAATAATGAAGAAGATGAAGTTGAACTTGTTTGAAACACAGGGGCACACTCGGCACATCATATTTTGTCAAAGAACATTTCTTATGCTTTAAGTGTTTGTGAACAAAGATACATTAAAAATATGAAGTCTTTTCTTCATAGCTTGTTTCAATTACTTGATAGTAATATCATAGAATGTTGAAGGAATTCAAAGATAATGCTGGACATATTGTCTTTTTTATATCCTTTTATCACAGATTAGAACGTGTATATGTTATTGTCATATATTCAAGAATTTTGATGTACATTAATGTAGCCTACATGTTTGTGAAAGATGGATACAAAAATATAAATCTTGAATGTATTTTGTATTGATTAAAATATCTTATTAACACCACCAGATATAAGAAATTAAAACCCTAAAGGTTTGTGTGACCTTTTTCACAATTCAAATGATTAATTTAAAGCAAAATCAACAAAAATGCATTGGTGTAAAAGTGATAAAAATCTTAAGTGGGTGAGAGTGTGAAATACTCAAAAAGGCTATCCTTCCTTAAAAGTTATGATTTAGTTTTTAGGAGATCATAATTCCCTAGCTGGCTCCATAACATGTACAGTGTATGCTGTAATCCTTTACCATCATATATGACATTTAAATAGAATATCAAAAAACCTCACATGGAGAGCTTGATAGCATACATGTGCTATTCTTACCTGCAGCATCTATGAGTTGTAAAAGCCAGCTTCTGGCGCATCCACTACCATATAATTTCATTAGACTCATTCCAGGAACTAGTACACTATTATGATTTACATATTTAGCATCCTGCCAATGTTGGGGACATCAACTGGCAAAATACCATAGTTGATAATACCAGGGGTCTGGCTTGAAGACTAATTACATTAACAACAAAAGTACAAACAAGTAAATTCCTAGAAGGGACCCAGTTGGAATGTTATCCCTGTATACAACAAGTTTCCTAACACAGTATATATTCTCCTTTTGGTCATTTCCTTTTTCACATCTTGCATTGGTTTTATATGAGGTTGTCCCGTACGTCACACACTTGTCCCGTACGTCACATTTCTTAATTTGATTATGTAATCAACACAGAATTTTTGAAATTTTTGTTAAACCTATTTTTTGTTAGGTATTCATCTAAATTAGAACTTCCTAGAATATCTTTCAAAAAAAAAATTATTTTCATAATTAAAATTAAACAAATTATGATCAAATTGTGACGTACGGGACATCACACTTTGGAACCTACCTCATTTGCATAATTAATTAATTTTGAAAGTTTTTATATTTTTTTCCTATTTTCTAGCATGATGGTCTTCATGTCCTGAGATATTTAATTTTAAACAAATAATTCAAATGAGATACAAAAATAAAAATGTAATGTCCCGTACGTCACGCTAATTAATACAAATCGAAGTTCGTGACCTTGGCACTCTTCGTATTTTGATAATTTTTTTAATTTTTTATCAGATTCATAAAATTCATAGTTTCAGCTTTAAAATGAGGTATAGTTTATTAAATATATATAAAGATGAAATTTGACCCCCAGAGGGGACAATAGCTTGGACCTGCCCTTGAATGAGAGCAGAACAATAAGATGTACAGAATGGCGAAAGTTTGAAATAAATCGGACCCAAAATGAGAAAATAATGAATGTTTGAAATATGAGATCACTAAGTTTATGCGAATCTCAGATTGGCAGTTCGGTCACGTCGTCACGGATAACTTTCCTGTTTGTCATGCACACAAATTTCATTAATTTCTGTTTTCTCCTTATTGCCTTCTCTCCTGGGGCACTACTCAAAACATACTATGGATAGCATATATTTATACGTCCGCTAAAGGGGAAAGTCCCTTTTGAGTCACACATTTTTGAGAAATTGAAATTTTGTCATTTTGTGTGGGAACAAATGGGAAAGTTGACCGTCACTATATCACAGAGACATTACCGATTCAGCCAATTTGAAGAGCTCATACCTATAGTGGTTTCAACTAAAAAATGTCATAACTTTCTAATCTTTTGTCTAATTCCAATTTCATTTAAATTTTAACCAGTCTACTTCTCCTGCTTTTTCTCTAGGTAGTTTGCTATCAGGGTTGGATTTCCTTTAAACTCCGGCGTCGTTTCATGAAAGCAGCATGAATCTACAAGTTTGCCGACATTCCGCTTGCACGCATGTATTACATCTAATACGCGTTTCAATGGGACTTCAGTTAACTTGATCGCATGACGGATTCGTGAATCGATGCCTAGATAACTATGGTTAACACACACACACACATACAAGTAATGGCAAAGATACTAACTTGAATCTGTCGCTGAGTGAATTAGGCATAGTCCTGTTCCCAGATGCTTCGGGAACGGTACTCGTGTCCAATTTGCAGAGCATGGGTTTTCCGTCAAGCTCTCGGTTGTGATATGTGCTTATCGCCTGAATGGCATCAGTCCTGCTGACATAGACCACTTCAGCTAGACCTGGTTTCACCATCCTCGTCTTGGTCAGTTCACCAATTGCTCCAAACAATTCCTATATAAGAACATGATAAAGTTTGTAAAAAGTATATGTATTGAAATCTTTAAATTGGCAAATATAGAGTCCAATACTATATAACTGATTGATACATTATGTAATTTACTTTTCCATATACTTTGATTTAGGGTTTTGATCAAAAGAAAGCCATATTCACAATTTAAAATGCAATGCTTGATTTAAAATGCAGTGCATGGCAAACAATGTATCTACGCATGGTGTCTTTTCCAGTAATTCAGGTTTAAAACTTGTTAAAGGCACATAGAAGTGGGCTCTCATGGGGAATTTGATGCCATTTTGGTGTTAACCCAGTAACACCCGTTGTCAGTCACAAGGATTTGCCTTCAGTTTTAACACCAACAGGCTTCATGTAATGCTCTGCCTTTTCCCAATAGGTTAAGGTCATTAGACATTTGCATCCCCCCAAAGACTCTCCTAGAGACAAGGGGTGTTGCTAGATTGGACTACGAGTTCACTGTCTCCAGACTTGTACACACATTAATGGTGTCAGCGAATTATGACCTTCTGCACATAGAAACTGACGGCCCTCTCCCTTCAACAAAACTTAGTTTTCAGAATACCCCACCCCCCCCCCCCCCCCCCTCTATGGTTTAAAGCTCATCTGTACTAGTTTATAGGAGGGAATAAACCACCCTGCAAAGTCACCGGACAGTTGGTTATCTCATCAACTCAGCTCTCAATTACCATAAGATAAAGAGGATCATGGGGGACCAATGGTCACTGATTAGGCATTGTTTTCTATATCGAGGGAGCAAGTAGCTACAAGTAATACAGTGTGGCTTTAAGCCTGTTGGTTTTCATAGAGTGAGTTGTAGGTTACCTTGATATCGTCCACTGTTACACTGATCTGTAGGTTGGAAATGATAAGTCTTGTTCCTGGGGGCTGGGCATGGGTATGAAGTCTGGCTGAGAAACCAGTAGCCTAGAACAAAACAATCAAATAATCCATGTAGCAATTTACTTCAGAGCACACAACAAATACTGTATGCGATTCATGAATTCACCAAGAAGGCAAGGACTGTTGTGGTAAAGATTCATGGAGGTAATAATATACTGCCAAGTTTCAAGAAAAGTGGGTTTATCTTTGAATGTTTAAAAATACTTCTGCTGCTTGTTTGTAAGACCATTGCCATTTTATCTCTAAATGATAGTTTCATAAGAATTTTTACTTGGGTCTTTTTTTATTTTATAGATATGTCCTCTTGCTATCTATTATCATAAACACTGTGGATAAATTTTGCATCATGGCCACAGCAAACTAAAGATTGCTAACACAACTAGTGACCATTTACAATGAGAAAGTAGATACATTTAATATTTTGTTACCAATAAATAAACTTACCCAAGCTCTATTCTGTGCCATAACACTTTCAGGCATGCGTCGCTGTACCTTGGGAGGATTGGGTTGAGGAACACTTATTAAGTCATCATTAAAGTGTGGATAGTCAACAGCTGGTCTCTGCAACTACATCAAGGGGAAAGAAATACTTGTATTACATCACTGTCTCTGACATTAAAAGCTTAACAATATATTTAGGTAGTTGTAATTTATGGAGAGAAAAATTATATTGAGGGGCGCTTTCTGTGTTACAATGAATATATGCAGCGTTCCGTTTATAATTAAATTCATGAAGAACATTGATACACAAGTTATATATTTTTTTTCTAGGAGAACAATTAGATGTAGAGGTGTCGTGGTCGAGTGGATACGTCGCCGGACTGTCGTTCACAAGGTTCGCGGTTCGAGTCCTGCCGTGGCACTAATGTCCTTTGGCAAAACATTGATCTACATTTTCCACACTCCACCCAGGTGAAGTAAATGGGGACCTGGTAGGAATTCATTTCTTGAAATGCAGCGCGCGTGACAGCGGCTCTGCTAAAGCCAGGGTAATTATGCTGCATGATTGTAGAGCGCTTAGAGACTTCTGATAAAGGAAGCGTTAGGTGCTATATAAGCAAATATAATTATTATTATTATCCATCATGAAAATATTTGACAGGTTGTGGCAACAAGTACACCTTACTTTTGTAATAACTACAGGGGAAGAATTAATTCTGCCAGTCTTGTTAACAGGCAATGCTTTACTGCAACACTGTCTTATAAATACAGAGATGTGATTGACACAAATCTTTGTAGCCATACACTGAACAGACTCCACCCCCCCCCCCCCCCAATAACCTTCCTTCGTAGCTTCCCCAGGCTGAGTATATTCTTACAGGACAAGCATTCCGCAATTTGTTGTTCGGTTCAGTACTTTTTGAATTTAAGCCCTAAAAAATATGCCATAATCATGAAAGAGAATGGCAATTTCTGTACACATATCCTCGGCCTGGGGAAGCTACAAAGTTGACTTGCAGCCATCTGGCCTACCTTTTGAGGTTGTGGAACAGCCTTGGTGACTCTGAGAGTACTGCTACCCGCCAGTAAGGGGTTGTTGCTCTGACGAGGGGAGGTTCCGTGATGAGAGGTGGCCAGGGAAAGAGATGATGTGGATTCCTGCTGAGGGGGATTCCTTATGGTGATCTGTGTCTTGTTCTGTACTCTGGCTGGATTACGCACTGTGAAGGTCGATCCCAACTGCACCGTTGGAATGAGTGAGAAATCAATTATGACAAAGTGATAATAAGAATTACAGCTCAGAAATTTGTCGAGTAAAGTCAGACTCACAAACAAACACACACAAAACTTCACTGAAAATGCATTTAACTGATTGTACATGTTTAGGAATTACAGTCCTTACAAACTTTGTACCTACAGTATATTAAGTTTAATTCAATATTATAATCTATATTTAACATGCTTTGTATCTATGTTAAGTTTAATTCAATAATATATTATATTCAAATGCTGTAAGACAGTTGTATGGCGTAAAGTATAGTAAATGCTAGTTATTAATAATATCATTAACTAGGCAGTTAAAATTTGATGGAGTCTCTACAGTGGAAATACAACCCAAACAAATAAGTTCCCAGAGGTTTGCATGAAGTCTGATAAAAGTTTTGATTGTATTCTGTGATGATAGCTAAGGAAAAGCAAGAGATCCTTTTCAAAACAAACAGAGGGCATGGACATATAAATTACCTACCAAAGCTAATAAAACTATATCCTCTCTCTCTCCCTTCTGCAACTAATAAGATGCTGCTTAAGTATAAGTATCGGCTTGCATGGTGATGTACATGTAGATATACAGTAGGTTTGCGGTAACACACACACTCAAGAAAGAAAGATTATCGAGTCCTTTTCAGGACTTGCCAATCCTCCCTCTCTCACATGGTGTAACCGGAAGCCTACTGTATGCGTACATGTATGTATCCATTTCTTTCCCATTCCACTTACATTTGGCACCGTTCTAGCAAGGGGTCTGGTCTGAGCAGCATCGGGAGGAGGGGGAGCCAGTTGCTCTCCACTCCTTGGTTGCCTCACCACCTGTCCGTCCGCGCTCCTCTTCTTCGATGTGAGCTTCAGCCTGGCATCGGTCTGTCTTGCTTTCTTGGCCAGCCGGTCCCGGGCATCACCTTGGTGGGCCTTCTGGATCAGCTTCTGTCTTGCATCGACGATGACCGGCTTCTCCAGCGGGAATTGTTGCTTTTGCCAGTTGCCCTTGCCTCTGCCTTTGTTCTGGCCTCTGGGGTTCCCTGGAGGTGCTCTTCCACCCCTGTTGCCTCCTGGACCTCCTCTACCTCTCCCCCTGCAAGACAAAAATAGAGTTTACATTCTTGTAATAACTTTGTTTACCCAGGGAAGCCTCATCAGCATCAATGCTGTTATTCCTGAGGGCCCTGCAATTATTATTACCCAAGGCCCAATCTGTCAGCCATTTTCGTAATGTAATCAAATTAATTTAACATGCATTACGTCTTTGTGAAGTGCCTCGATACAAATTATTCCATTCACCGGTTACATATAATTGTATTTGAGTAGTCAGTATGCAAATTGCAGATATTTTGTGTTGTTAAGTAACGCAATCCATGTTTGACCTACTTATATTAGGGATGTCAGACGCTCGCACTGCAATCCTGAAATCGAGCCATCAATGTGCGTACGAGCCAACGGTGATAGTAGTCGAAATAAAAACATGCAATCTTTAAAAATTCATTAAAAATCAAAATTAGCAGGAAAGCATTAATTGATTAATAATTACCGTAGATTAAAGTTGTATTCCAATATTGGAAGCATTTTCTTCACAAGTAGAATCGTAGAATCAATCAAAATATGGCAGTAAAGATGAGATCTAATTCGCCCATTGGCCCTTTGCAAGCGTTTGAAAGGCATTGCTGCAGCCATGGCAATGCTTTTCTGTGACTCTCTGAAAAACTGCGCATGTTTACATCGAAATCTGGAGGTGATCCCGGGGTCACACAATGCCCAAATTTGGACATGCCATTCATGAAACTTAGAAAAGTTGACCATGCGCGTTGACTTTTTTTGCCTACCCCATACTTTTAATATATTTGAGCAGTAAAAAAAAGTTCCAATTTATAGCGATCTTTTTCTTATAAAAATGAACTTTTTGCAAAAGTCAATGTTAGTTTATTTATAAGTGATATCCAAGCTATCTTTGAGCCAAAAATCTAAGGGAAATTCATTCAGGATCATCTACAGATAATCACAAACTTCCGATGTATACTACCCAAGACTGAACAACCGTAAGTCTTGACACTCGCCCTCAACCCCTGGTGATTCTGTGCTAAACACGTATGGACCGAACGAAATATTTGCAGCTAGAAACTACTTTCCATGGATAAATTGAGAATTTTGATCGACTACAAACGTTGAATATAAGTTTTTCATAATTAAAGACTCCATTATTAAAGCAATAACTCAGTATTTATTATAGAAAAAGAAGTTGAAATGTTGAATGTGTGTACGAGTGAAATGCCGGGAGGAAGTATAAATGAAAGAAAAGCGTGATGTTATCATCAAGCCGCAATGGCCACGTGCGTGCACGTGGAAATTTCCATTGTAAGCGCCGGCATGTGGCTCGTCTTCTAAGTGTACAAACTCCCTCTTTAAAAAAGATAAAATGCAAGAAATTATTAAAACAATGTTTCAAGGGAAACTAAACACTGTTTCGAGGGAAATTACGTAGAAATGAGCAATTCTAGTGACTCAGCTGTAATTGTAAATATACAGGTGTTATTCTCCTGATACATTTGTAACATTACAAGAGGTTTTCTGGACATTTACCATATTTGTTTTCCTTTATCAAAAAGCAATTTTACATGTACTTGGAATTGATATATTTTTCCACCATGACTGCCAGAATTTTAATCCAAGTTTACATTGAAATATCATCTTATATTTGTATTGCTGATTATTTGAAAATCTTTACTTGAAAATCAGCGATCCTCCAGATCCTCACATCGATCCTCAAATTTTATCAGGAAACATTTTTCCTGTGATATTTTTTTTTTTTTTTTAAATCTTTGTTTTTCTTTGTTTTTCTTTGTTTGTTGCCATGGCAACCTTATATTTTAATTTAAAAAATGTTGTGGAAAGATGTCCCTGCCATTATCTTGGAATGCAAAGTGTTTTGAGTAGCAATTTGATCTGGAAAGTAAATACCGGTATATTACTTTTTAAATATTTTCTTATTTTCTTTGTTTTGTTTCCATGGCAACAATATATTTAATTTCAAGGTTTCTCTTAAAAATGTTGATAAAAAGAATATAATGAAGAAAAGTTCTGTTGAAATTTCAATGAGAAACAAGATATATTTTTTGAGATATGGCACATCAAACAATGCTTGCAATGTTGAGGTATGCATGTACTCTTTACTATGTACTTAAATTACACTCGGTGCCATGCTTACATTGTAAGTTCCTATGCAAAACTTCAGGAAATACCCCTAAATAAAAATATTAAAAATGAATATCTCGAGAGTCGAATTATATTTTGACTCAATTTTTTTTCCATATTGAATGATAAATTGTGTTCTCCAAATACAGTGCAAAATTGTCATGATTTAATGGACTTCAATTTTTAGTCTAACATCCCTACTTATATGCTTTTCACACTGGTAAAATTGTGCTAAGCCCTGGACTATAGGTGGGCCTAACAAAAAAGGGGGGGGGGGGGGGGTTCTCAGCCTCACCTGCATGTATAGTCCTGGGCTAAGCTTATCCCACTTTCTGTTCAGATTTACCAAAGTGGGCACCGGGAGCACTGCATGAACATACTGGCACAATTAAACTGTTCGAATTTTGTATGAAATTTTTGCATGAAAGAAATATACAAATTCTGTGAACCATGTAAAGATAATCATAATCCAAGCTTCCATTTTATTGGTCCATTATTTAAAAATAGATTGAAATAGATTGTGATTCATTAGTACTAAGATCGAAATTGACAGAGTTTGTATACTAATCTGTATGCGCTGCTTGGCCATGGAATGGCGCACCGTAAACAAAACTATATGATCTTGATACTTGAGATCTATTTGCTTTATTATTGTTGTGATTTCAATGTAGTTTTCATGAAAAGACCAAGAATGCAGAAGCTTGGATTATGATTATGATGGCGTGGATCACAGAATTTGTATAATTATTTTCAAAGTAAAGATTTTACGCGAAAATAGGTCCATGGTTTGCGCCAGTACAGTATGTAGCAATCGAATCGAATCGAATCAACTGTGTGTGTGATGTAGGCATAGAATCATCGCATACACGTACACGCATGGCCGCTTGGCCTACAAAGCACATCCAGCAAGATGATCGTCATCCGTATCCGCTGTGTAACTCTTTGATTAGAGGACGGGTGCATGCCTTGCTGCCTTACTCTCACGGGTATATTGCCTCCTCACAAGGACAATCGACGGCGACCAAGTGGTTGACGTGGCAATCGGGATACGAGAGACATGCCTCGTGGAATTGTGTCACTGTTCTCGGGCCACGGCAAAGCGGCAAAGGCTGGTACGGTCGAAGAAAGATGTTTTTCATCAAACCAAAACTAAAGTACCCGCCCCGCGACGATTTTGCGTTATAGATCTAGATTTAGAATCTATAGACTAATAATATACCTTTACCTTTATCCGAGATTCTGGAAGAATGCTGTGTTCTCAGCAGTCGGATTCCATTTCCATTTCAATCAATCATTTCGATGTTGTGTTTCTTCCTTCTCATAATTAAAACATTTGATTTAAATGTCTTCATTTTTAGGAAAAATGCTCAAAAAATTATAGATCTAAGAAAATTGACACAAATGGGGTAAGAAACATAATGAATGTTGAATCATAACAATTTTTGGAACAGTTGATGAAGATTTAGTTGATTTTTTTGTATGTTTTACTAGGTTATCTCCACGCCGGAGTTACGGGTCAAAGTCTGGATACGAAAGTAGACTGGGGCCTAGTAGTAGTACATTGTCATTAGCGACACAATTTCTACAAAACAGACAATATTACGATTCTTACCTCCCTAGACGGTTCTGAAAATTGGAAGGTTTTGATGTTTTCCTATTCCGGATGATGTCATCTAGGGACTGATCCATCACTTTTTCATGAAGATAAGCAAAAATTAGTGATTCGGGAGCCAAAATACGATCAACTGACGCTCAACTATTTAGCGTGTTTCGCAGCTATCCAGATCCATTGCATGACGTTGACGACGTGCATGAGCTAGTAGCTAGCTAGCTCTGCCCGCGCTGGGCGCGCGCGCTAGCTTCGAATCACTAACCTCTACCATTTTGAATATGCATTTTCTTGATTTGTATAGCGCAGCATGTGCGACGTGCACTGTAGGCATGTGTAGAGGTCAGTGGCATGTACATGTACTTTTGGGTGTGTGCGTTTTTTTTTTCATGCTAGGAGAGAGAGAAAGAGAGATCGAGAGATCGAGGTATGTTCATGAAACTTTCAACAGAGCATTATTTGATAAACTAAGACTGGAAAAAATGGTATACATATATATATATTACCAATAAATGTAAACTCGTTGAACTAAACATAATCACTAGAAACATAGAGCATATATCATCAATGAAAACTGAAGGTCAAAGTTTAAAGTGCGTGGGGAAAACCCAAGTATTGTTATACAGTGTGTATAAAAAAAAAAAAAGTACTCACTTCAGTGTAAATATCAACATTTTAATTTCATGATGTTTTCATAAATATTGTTTTAATACAGTTGTGGGAGAGGGTCTATTAAATCGGATATAAAAGGTTCTGGGACAATCACCTCTGGAAATTCACCCCGGCCATGCATTTACCAGCAGGTAAATCCCCCCCCCCCCCCCCCCCCCCGGAAATTTACCCACTCCCGGAAACGCCCCCCAATGACAAACACCCCCGACGACAATTACACCACTGGAAAATTACCCCCTAGAACAATAGATTTTTTCTTAATTTTCCGAAAGAGCATCAAAAATAATGTCCGAATGCCGAAAACCAATTGAATTAATACGTTAAGTATTGGCCGGGATATGACCATCTGAATAAAAAAAGTGTCCTATGAACTCAGTGTTTATATTGCTCTGGTTCATAACATTACGAGCCAGAGCAATAATAACACTGAGTTCCTATATGCATCTTTTTATTCAGATGGTCATATCTCAGCCAATACTTAACATATTCAATTGGTTTTCGACATTTGGACATTATTTTTGATGCTCTTTGGAAAATGAAGAAAAAAAATTGAGAAATTCTAAAAAAAGATTTTTATGACGTCACTCACATCTTCGATACTCTATTACCCCTCGTGGACAATCACCCTCCCTCCTCCCAGGACAATTACCCCCGAAAAAAAAATCTGCTTTGATTAAAACCAACTTCTTATCTGGATAGACTTCGTCTTTAATGAACTGGGGGGGGGGGTCGTCTTCGATGGGGGGGGGGGGAGTTAATTTTTAGGTGATCAATTTCTTGGGGGGGGGGGGGTAATTGTCATCGGGGTATTTCCAGGGGGCAAATGTCCTCGCAGGGGTGACTGTCCTTAGGGAAGGGTATTTCAAGGGAGTATGCTGCGGGGGTTATTGTCCAGGTGGTAATTGTCCTGATACGCACTAAAAGTGTTCACAATTAAAATTGTACGAACTGGCTAATGTCGAGAGAAAAAAACTTGCTGACATTGGTTTGCCCCCAAAATGCTTCAGCCTCGAATAGGGTCAAAAAACAAATCAGGCAGCTATTGTATAAGTTATGTTGGCTATCAAATGATTTGAACGATCATTTTATCTTAAACCATATACCTATAGCAGTTGTGGCGTATTCACAAATTGTTAACAGAGAGGGCCGGGCGGCATAATATTACATCCGCCCAAGACAGGGGTTCAGTAAATGTATCTTGGTAACCCCTTTCTGTTACCCCATAGCAAGTTTCACTGTCTTTCATGGCCCTCCAAGAAGGAGCTATACTTTAGCTTCACAAAATGCTTGATACGCCACTGCCAAATCACCCGACCCCCTCACTACCATCATCAGGCGCGACTCCAGGATTTCTTAGGGGGGGGGGGGGGGTAAGAGGACATATTTTTAAGGTCATCTATAAGGATTTTTTATTTTATTTTTCTTTAAAAAAAAAAAAAAAAAAGGGGGGGGTTTCCCCAAAACATGCACAAAACATACACATAACAAAACTCAAGGGGGGGGGGTTACCCCTCCCCCCACCCCCCATGCGTACGCGCCTGTGCGAGCCAAATATTGGTACGTAATGGTGACCAGTATTGACGTAATGGGGAGAAGGGGTGCAGGAAGGGGCGATTTTCCCCCTCCCTCCTCCGCAAAGCGCCGAAGCTCTGACGTTCCATTAAATTGATAGAGAAAGAAGACGTTTCATTGTACCGTTCTCGAAAATAATCCTCGTCTGAATACAGTTCCCTTCTCGCGCGAAGCGCGGAAGCTTTTACGTTTCATTAAATCATTAGAGAAAGAAGACGATTTGTTGTACCGTTCTCGGCTCTTATTCCTCGTCTGAATTCAGTTTTCCCCTCCCCCCCCTCCCACGCGAAGCGCGGAAGCTTTTACGTTTCATTAAATCATTGGAGAAAGAAGACGATTCGTTGTACCGTTTTCGACTCTTATTCCTCGTCTGAATTCAGTTTCCCCCCCCCCCCTCCCGCGCGAAGCGCCGAAGCTTTTACGTTTCATTAAAATCATTAGAGAAAGAAAACGATTCGTCGTACCGTTCTCGACTCTTAATCTTTTGAATTCAGTCCCCCCCCCCCCCTTCAGCGCGCGCGAAGCGCTGAAGCTTTTACGTTTAATTAAATCATAAGAGAAAAATGATGATTCGTTGTACCGTTCTCGACTCTTAATCCTTGTCTAAATTTAGTTCCCCCACCTCCTGCGCGAAGCGCGGAAGCTTTGACATTTTATTTAAATATTAGAGAAATAAGACGATTCGTTGTACCGTTCTCGAAAATAATCCTCGTCTTAATCCAGTTTACCCCCCTCCCCCTCTCCCGCGCGAAGCGCGGAAGCTATTACGTTTCATTAAATCATTAGAGAAAGAAGACGATTCGTTGTATACCGTTCTCGGCTCTTATTCCTCGTCTGAATTCAGTTTCCCCCTCTCGCGCAAAGCGCGGAAGCTTTTACGTTTCATTAAATCATTAGAGAAAGAAGACGATTCGATGTATACCGTTCTCGGCTCTTATTCCTCGTCTGAATTCAGTTTCCCCCCTCTCGCGCGAAGCGCGGAAGCTTTTACGTTTCATTAAATTATTAGAGAAAGAAGACGATTCGTATTACCATTCTCGACTCTTAACCCTTGTCTCAATTCAGTTCCCCCCCCCCTCCCGCGCGAAGCGCTAAAGCTTTGACGTTTCATTAAAATTATTTAAGAAAGAAGACGATTCGCTGTAATGTTCTCGTCTCTTAATCCTTGTCTCAGTTCAGTCCCCCCCCCCCTCCTGCGCGAAGGCTTTGATATTTCATTAAATTATTAGAGAAAGAAGACAATCGTTGTAGCGTTTTCGACTCTTAATTCTTGTCTGAATTTCAAAAATGTTTTTTGTCTGCTCCTTTTTCTTCCTACGTCCTCTTCCTTTTCTATCCTCTTTTTTTGGGGGGCCGGCTTTTTTGGGGGGCCGCCCCCACCGCCCCCTGGCTACGTGCCTGCGGTCAGATGAACTTATTTTGATACCTTGTCCGCCCCCGGAAACTCAGGGGTTTAAGGCAATAAACTACGGTCAGATAAGCATTCAGGTCCCGCTTTAGGGCCCCTGGTGGGGTCGAGGGTGCGGAAACCCCGGAATCTCAGGGGTTTTAGGCATTTGATTACGGTCAGATGAACATATTTTTATACCTTATTTGTGACACTGGCAGGACACTGATTTGCGTGAGGTCCAGCGGGCGGAGCCCCCAGAAGCTCAAGGGTTTTAGGCACTAAATTACGGTCAGATGAGTATCAAGGGGCCCGCCTTAGGGCCCTTAGTTGGGTCCCGGGGGCAGAGCCCCCGTAAGCTCAGGGGTTTTAGGCGTTTAATTACGGTCAGATGAGCATTTTTGATACCTTACATTGTTGTAACACTGGCAGTTAACTATTCTTTCTTTCTATTTCTCTTTAATATTCTTTTTCAATAAATTCGGGGGGGGGGGAGAGCTGGAAGCTCCCGATCCCCGCCGTTCCGCGGGCCCTGACATGTAGGCATCCCAAGAGGCATATTTCTTGCCTGGCTGTAAATTTAGGGATTTGTCATTTTACAACAAACGCATAAAAAAATAATTTACTAAAAAAATGAGAACAAATTTCGGAAAATTATTTCATTTCAGCATTATGTGTTAACCACCGTTATGGAATTAGAAATAAACCACGATTAAATTTATTTCCCCCGAGCCCCCACCCCCCCCCCCTCCCCCCGATCTATACTTTGTTGGCGGAAAAATCGCAACTGATCTCCCCTACCTTTCTTCGTTCTCTTGTCTTTCTCTCCTCTTTCCCTTTCCCTTCCTTCTCTCTCTTTTTAGGTTTGCTGGGGGAGGGGGGGGGGGGGGGGGGGGGGGGAGGCAAGATCCTTTCGGCCCCCCACCCTTTTACACATGTTGTTGGCTGGATTAACCGCAAATGATCTATTTCCCCTTCTTTTCACCCTTTTTTTTTTCTCTTCCTCTTTTTCGGTCCCTTTTAGCTCTCCTTTTTCCCTTTTCCTTCCTTCTCTCTTGTTTTTAGCGGGGGCGGGAGGAGGCAAGGGCCTTTTGCCCCACCCTATCCCGATCCACAACTTGTTGGCGGGAAAATTGCAACTAATACCCCCTTCTTTTCTTTTCTTCTTCCCCAATTTCCTTCCCTTTATCCCCTCTTTTTTCCTTTTTCCTTTCTTTCCATTTCCTTCCTTCTTTCTTATTTTTTTTTATTGGGGGGGGGGGGGGGGGGGGGAGGCGAGCCCCCCCCTCGATCTCGATCTCCTTCTTACCCCTTTTCTTTTCTTCTTCCTCTTCTTTCTTTCACTTTCTCTCCTCTTTCCCTTTTTTCTTCTCTCTCTCTCTCTCTCTCTCTCTCTCTTTTTCCCCTTTTTTTCCTGCTTTTTTTTTCCCTTTTTTTTCCTTCTTTTGTTTTCCTTCTTTGTTTTCCTTCTTTGTTTTCCTTCTTTTTCCCCCTTTTTTTCCCAGGGGGGCGGGCCCCCCCGGGCCCCAGGGCCTCCCCCCCCCCCCCCCCCTACACACACTGGATCCGCCACTGACCATCATTGCAGATGGGTTTTTTAAATTTTTATTCATGCGCATATTGATCGAGTTTCGAATTGAGAAGTGTTGCATCGAGCTCAAGAAAAGTGGATGCTGATTCAAACGATCAGAGAGAGACAGAAGAAATGGCTTGGACACATAATGCGGCCTGATGATGATTAGAGTCGTAGAAGAGGGGACGACCTCGTAAAGGCTTTCTACTGAGATGATTTAATCGCAGAATGTGGAGCAACAGGGTATGAAATGCTGAAACGGATGGCTCAAGACCGACTTACTTTGAGAGACACTGTCTTGATTTAGAATTCTGTTTGGGTCACTAAACCTGTAATACTGTGACAGATCTCTATAATTGATGGTATTGATCAGTGGCCACTTTTGTCTCGATATGATTGATGCAGGGAGAGAAAAATATCCTATCAGTTACCCATTTCTTCTTTAATTCTATAATTCTTCCTAAAAGTCACAAAACAAAAAATATAAGAATGGTGAATTGGACATTTAGGAACAGATGAAACCTATTTATCGACAATGTTATGAATGCTTTCTTTTCTTCGATTAAACATGGATGTGGCTTATCTTCATGCCTCAGACCAGCGTTTTTTTACGCCACCACCCTTTTTCAGAAATAAAAGTCACCGTAATCCCAAATTCATAACAAATATTACTTGTGCATCACTCTTAACTCGAAAGTGCCATATGTACACACCTACGGGCATAATTTTTCCCGAGCTAGAGACATCTTTAAATATTCAGGCGCGGATCCAGGATTTCTTAGGGGGGAGGCCCACATTTGAAATTATGCGAGCCAAATATTGGTACCTAATGGTGACCAGCATTGACGTAATGCGGGGAGGGGGTGTGTGCAGGGAGGGGCGAGTTCCCCCTCCCTCTTGACGTTTCATTTGAATTATTAGAGAAAAAAGACGATTCGTCGTACAGTTCTCGACTCTAAATCCTCGTCTGAATTCAGGCTCCCCCCTCCCGCGCGAAGCGCTGAAGCTTTTAAGTTTTATTAAAATCATTAGAGAAAGAAGACGATTCGTAATTGTACCTTTCTCGAAAATAATCCTCGTCTGAATTTATTTCACCCCCCTCCCGCGCGAAGCGCGGAAGCTTTTACGTTTCATAAAATTATTAGAGAAACAAGACGATTCGTATTACCTTTCTCGACTCTGAATCCTAGTCTGAATTCAATTTTTCCCGTACCGCGCGAAGCGCGGAAGCTTTTACGTTTCATTAAATCATTAGAGAAACAAGACGATTCGTTGTAGAGTTCTCGACTCTTAATCCTCGTCTGAATTCAGGCTCCCTACTCCCGCGCGAAGCGCGGAAGCTTTTACGTTTCATTAAATCATTAGAGAAACAAGACGATTCGTTGTAGAGTTCTCGACTCTTAATCCTCGTCTGAATTCAGGCTCCCTACTCCCGCGCGAAGCGCGGAAGCTTTCAAGTTTCATTAAATCACCAGAGAAAGAAGACGATTCGTTGTACCGTTCTCGACTCTTATTCCTTGTCTCAATTCGCCCCCCCCCCCTCCCGCGCGAAGCGCGGAAGCTTTTAAGTTTCATTAAAACCATCATAGAAAGAAGACAATTCGTCGTACAGTTCTCGAAAATAATCCTCGTCTGAATTTAGTTTCCCCCCTCCCGCGCGAAGCGCGGAAGCTTTTACGTTTCATAAAATCATTAGAGAAACAAGACGATTCGTATTACCTTTCTCGACTCTGAATCCTAGTCTGAATTCAGTTTTTCCCCAACCGTGCGAAGCGCGGAATTCTTGACGTTTCATAAGACTATGAGAGAAAGAAGATGATTCGCTGTACCGTTCTCGACTCTTAATCCTTGTCTGAATTTAGTTCCCCCCCTCCCCTCCTGCGCGAAGCGCGGAAGCTTTTACGTTTCATTAAATTATTAGAGAAAGAAGACGATTCGATGTACCGTTCTCGAAAATAATTCTCGTCTGAATTCAGTTTTTCCCCTACCGCGCAAAGCGCGGATTTTTGACGTTTCATAAGAGTGTGAGAGAAAGAAGACGATTCGCTGTACCATTCTCGACTCTTAATCCTTGTCTGAATTCAGTTCTGCCCCTCCCTCCTGCGCGAAGCGTGGAAGCTTTGATGTTTTATTAAATCATTAGAGAAAGAAGACGATGCGTTGTACCGTTCTCTACTCTTAATCCTTGTCTGAATTTCAAAGATGTTCTTTGCCTGCTCTTTTTTATTCCTACGTCCACTTTTTTTTTTCTCTCCTCTCTTTTTTATTTTGACGGCGATTTTCGGGGACCGCCCCAGCTCCCCCCCCCCACCCCTGGCTACGCGCCTGCGGTCAGCTAAACACATTTTGATAACTCGTCAGAGATTAAAGGCAATAATTACGGTCAGATAAGCATTCAGGGGCCCGCCTTAGGGCCCCTGGTGGGTCGAGGCGGTGGAGCCCCCGGAGGCTCAGGGGTTTAGACATTAAATTACCGTCAGATGAGCATCTAAGGGCCCGCCTTAGGGCCCTATGTGGAATCCAGGGGCCAGCAGAGCCCCCGGAAGCTTGGGGGCTTTAGGCATTTAATCACGGTCAGATGAACATAATTAATTTGATGCCTCATTATTTTTTGACACTGGCAGTTAACTAGTTTTTCTTTCTTGCTCTCTTTCTTTTTATTTTTCTTTAATATATCTTTTTTTTTTAATGGCGGGGGGGGGGCTCGAGGCTCTCGATCCCCGTCGTTCCTCGGGCCCTGACATGTAGGAATCTCAAGAATCACATTTCTTGCCTGGCTGTAAATTTAGGAATTTGTCGCATAAAACGTATAATTACTAAAAAGTGAGGAAAATGTTGGAAATTATGTCATTTCAGCATTATTTGTTATCCACCGTTATGGAATTAGAAATAAACCACGTTTAAATTTGATTTCCCCAAGCCCCCTACCCCCCTATCAGTTCACCAGTATCTCCCCTTTTCCCCTTTCCTTTCCCTTACCTTCCTTCTCTCTTATTTTTTTGATTGGGGGGGGGGGGGGGCAACAGCCTGGAAGGCAAGGCCCTTTCGCCCCCCCCCCCGATCTCCTTCTTCCCTTTTCTTTTCTTCTTCTCTTCTCTCTTTCCCTTTCTCTCCTCTTTCCCTTTCCCTTCTTTTCCTCTCTTTATTTCCCTTTTTTTTTGGCGGGGGGGGGGGGGGGGCAAGGCCCACTCGCCCCCCCCCCTTGGATCCGCGCCTGAATATTGATGGTTCAAATGAATTGTTGTTAACTGTAATTATTATTGATGTCTGGCATGCATTTTGCTTCAATTCAAGAATGAACATAGTTTGCGCAAACCATTATTTCGCAAGTTTTTTCGACATTGACCACTGTTCTCTCAAGCGTAAACTATTAGTCAACAGTTTTAGTGTAATCCGGTTGAATAGACCCTCACCCGTAATTCCTAAGAAATAATAATAAAAGCTAGCTATCGTGAAATCAAATTGTTAAAGTTATTCAAAATGTGTGTATTTTTTTGGTACACACTGTACATATTATAGCGATTCCACTCACGTCATTGCATACATTGTCTGTATTTTCAATACGCGTCTGCGCCATACCTTTGTATATTAATGTACATGCATTCTTTTTAATGCATAAGGATATCTGTATAGGCCTGCGTTTGAATTGCCATTGAGAGTACACAAGCATCAAGATATTTCAAGAAAAAAACCAAGATCCGTATAGTGTGACATTAAACTGTGCACAAGTTTGACATCCATTTGAAATCAAAACTTTGATTCAGCAGTTTGGACAATTTTCCTCGTTCATTATTGATATGGGCGGATCCATTCAATAACACACACTAGCTGTCGACTGTGCAGATGAAGTACTAGTTGCAAGTTTTGAATCTGACCGAACTATTAGACCTACGTTAGTGGGAATATTGATGAATCTGCGTCATGGCGGAAAAGGCAGAAGAGGCAGCTTCTCAAAATATATTGTGTCCTCTGTGCCTGGACGTGTTTGATAATGCTTCCATGTTGATATGTGGACATACGTTCTGCAAGCAGTGTTTAGAGAGGTATGATGCCGCCCATCGAGACCTAGATCACATGGTGTGTCCTCTCTGCAGGAAAGTCACTAAGTTGGATGAAAGTCGAGTCACTGGTCTACCCACAAACTTCACCGTCAAAGGCTTGGTAGACGAGTACCACGGCTCACATGGTGGGATAAATGCTGTTCTGGAGGGTCAACCGAAGTGCACTGCTTGCGATCTCCAGGGAGATGCTGTATCCTTCTGCTACGAGTGTGGCAATTACATGTGCACCAAGTGTGACCATTGTCACAGTCATCTGACATCGCTCTTCAAGGAACATCAGGTTGTGTCCATGAAAGACGTAGTGGAAGGAACTGCCAGTATCGGGCAAGTCACAGACAAGTGTTCGGTGCACAAGCCCGGCAAAAAGGAACTTTTTTGCGAAGATTGCAAAGTATATATATGTCTGATGTGCACGGTCCTTAATCATCGTGATCACAAAATCAAACATCAGGCCGACCTCGAGAAGGAGATACGGGAGAAAGTGGATGATGTCATCAAGCGCAGTAACGACAAAAAATCCGAGTTCGAGAAACATATCCAGGACATTGAATCCAAACGCAAAGAAATCGACACCGCTATCCAAAAGCTGGAAGGTAACATAAAAGAGGCGTTTACGGAAAAACTAGACAAACTGAAAGAGAATGAACGGTTGCTTATCACAGAAACACAGCTACTGCGAGAGAATTGTGACAAAGAACTGGATGCCCTGAAATCTGGTCATCGACAGAAGATCAAGGCTATTTCAAGCTCTGTGAGCCTCGTGGCCAAAGGAAGGTTGAGACATTTAGAGAAAGACAGTCTGACGGCGCACTCATTAATCTCCAACGACCTGGAAGGTCTCTTGGAGGAAGCTATTGATGAGGCACCTGTAACCGACTTAATGACACATATTACCTCGACACTGTTCATACCGGCAGGAGATACGCTACTTGATCTTGGTCGTGTGTCAATTGTTTCATTGGCAATAGGAAAAGTGGTTGACCTACCATATCCAATGAGTGGCTTAACACGATTATCTGAGGATTCGATGCTTGTTGGATATCAAAATGGCAGGTACGGCGCGCAGATAAAGTGGTAATCGATGGAAGCGTGCACTTTAGATATGTGAACCCAAATAGGTTTTTATACGACATCGCTCATCAAAGCAATTCGGAGATTGTAGTGTCAATAGGTCTTAAACAAATACAGTTTTACAGTGCTAAAAGCCTTTTGTTGGCATCAGACAAAACAATCTCAAATGAAACAGGATCTTCATTCCCATATTTAACTGTTAGCTCTGAGAATGAAATCATAGCGGCGAACAGAAATGATCGGATTCATATCTTTGATCCTACTGGAAGCACGAGAAAGCACTCAATTGCAACAGTGGAAAAACCATTCCAAGCCCTTGCAACCAAGACAGGTGTGATCGTCTCAAGTTCTTGCTCCATTACTCCCAGCACAGTACGAGTCTATGACAGAGATGGGAAATATGGTGATCCTATAGCAGCCAAAGAGGGGGAATACCTCTACCCAGCAGTAGATGGGGAAGACAGGGTGTTCATTGCGAGTGTCAATCAGCCAGCTGGTAGAATACATATCTCCCTTTACCGTCCCGAAGGTTTGAATCTCAGGAAAGCGATAGAGTTCGAGAAGCTTGAACTAGCACTGAGTAATACATGGTGTTACCTAATTTCTCTATCCCGCAATACACTTGCATTCGCTTGTGGTAAAAAGGTGTATTTCCTTACCATTCCATGGCTTGGAGCAGCCCCTGTGGCTGCAGAATAATCAGAAACCAAAAGCCAGAGTTGTCTTTAAGTTTGTCCCCCCCCCCCCATGGTAACATGGCGTCTGATAGTATTATTTTTCGTCTAGATGCTTGGTATAATAGACACGTGTAACACATTAGTACAAAATATTAAATTTGCGACCATTATGTTGACGTGTATTAGATTAGTTCTCCTAAGTACAAGAAAATACTTGATATCCCCTTTTAACGATTTAAAGGTCATTGCAATTTCAAGAAGTTTACATCTCTTTTGGACCCCCCCCCCTTAAATGGCCAAATTGAAAATATATTACAGCAGTTGTAGCAATATCAGTAAAATACCCTGCCTTCATATTGATGTCCCTGAAATGGGCATTAAACAAGTTAAAACCTGTTCGTCATCAAAAATAATATTAATCAATTATCTATGACATCTTAAGTCAGTGTCAGATCTTATGAATGTTATGACAGTTAATGGGTATACTCCATATTATCAGTATACCACACAATTCTGTGCCTGTCATTACTTGGAAATCATTTGGTGTTGTACTAGTTTGAGTTATATAATTATTTCTTGCATATTTTTGATAAGTTGTTTTACGTTAGTACAATCCAAACATATTACCTTTCTCTCTATGCACATTCTCCACTCCCTGAGGAGCATTCCGACCAGTCACCATTTTACAAGCGCACACTTGTCTAGTTGTTACGGAGAATAGAACTTTTTTTGAAAATGTTATAGGTCAATTAAAATAATGAATGAATGAAAATAGCATATACCATACACACAGACTGCAACTCGTGTTAAATACGTACGCTTCCACATTATGAGTGAATTTAAACGCTACTTGTTATTTGATTGTAAATAAAATTTCATTCCGTACAATATGAGATTTGAAAGCTACCAATGTTCAGATCTAAAGATAAAATGTCTATTGAATTATTAGAGTTGAGTAACTTGAGTTGTATTTCTTTAAACATCATGAAAAGTATTAATTCAGTTTTTAAATGTATGACTGCATCATAAAGAAAACACACGAATAGGATACTTTGCACATCTGAGCGTTGGCAAGCAATCACATTCATATTTTTTCTTTGCTTCAGTTAATTTTGTCGTACTTTCAGAGTTTTCAGAAAACATGTTTATAATGTACATTGTATGATTCAAGAGTATACTAACCAAAATAGAACAGAAAAGGGAGTTGAATGCTATTCAACAAGTAATTTGTGATGAGAATGATGCCTTAAATAGCAGCTGTGTTGTGTAAATCCATTATGTCATAGTTATTATTTTGCAGTCTTCCGAATTCCATTCTGCAGTGGTATTTCTAATTTGGTTTCTTTATCATTGATGGCTGTGTACATTGCATTTTAAAAGACTGAAATTGACTGTAGTCAATTTGAACTTAATGTGAAGCTCCAATTTACTGCTTTGAGAAGCTCACTTAAAAAAATAAAACTCTCATAATTATTATACTGTTTGGAACCAAGTAAAGATAACCAAAGATAAGTTCTAATCATAATTCTGTAGAGCTATAATTATTTTGAAATATTATGCATAAACTTGTTTTGTTTTCTTCAAAAAATGATGTCGACATGATTGAAGAGCTTTATAAAGCCATTGTTGGGTTGAACTTATGGTAATGACGAGCCAAATGTTTAAAGGTCATTTGCAGATTCGCAGATAAGATTACACATGGTCTGTTACAGGTGGTTTGAGTTGATGTTATGATATGTAATAAAGTAATAAATAAGAGGACATGAAGGGAGAACCGGTGCGAATCTGTTCAATAAGGATCAAAGTTTGTTATTCAAAGATCAACAAGTTTACATTATGATTACTTTTTTTGTGCCCACTTGTGTAAATGTTTGTCCATTTTCTTGACTTAAAAATAGTCAATGTTAGAAGATTCGTTGGTATGTTCATATACCCCCCCCCCCGGAAAACAAACAAACCCAAAAGCAGATATGGATGAAAGAGAAATTAAGGTAGAAGAAGCGATGGGAAAGGATTGCGGGGCAACGATAAGAAGGCAATTGAGGAGAGGGAGAGAGAGAGAGAGAGAGAGAGAGAGAGAGAGCGATAGAGCGATAGAGAGGGGTGGAGAGTGATTGGAAATAGTTTGAAAGGCAGATTATGAGAGAGAATGATGAGAACACTGGCGAAAGCGTCAGAGAGAACGAGAGAGAGAGAGAGGGGGGGGGGGGGGGGGGGGAGTGAGTGAAAGGAAATAGGTCTACTAGAGGAAGTTCACGTGTGTGAGAAAGAGAGGTAGAGAGATGGAGGTGGGTGGGGGGGGGGGGGGATAAGTGACTCTTTATATTCAAAGAGCGAGAGAGAAATAATCCATAGGGAAACTATCTTAATAATTTCTCATGAAAAGTAGATTTTTCAAACACACAAGAACACCGACTAATTGCTAGCTCATTATCTCTCATTGCTCCAAATTAGTAATGTCAACAGAAAAAAAAGTCCAGTCGGACTACAGTATATTTTCTTGCCTAATAAAATGAGAACCTATCATATATAAACTTTGCTGAAATTTAGTTTTGAAGGGCCTCTTTTATTGTTCTTAATCTATTCAGAATTGAAAACACTAAACACATCTGGAAGTGTTTTAAGAAGGCATACATGCATGTAAGCTTACCGTGAAAGAATTTTCGTCTTTGATCAGAATCTACTTTTGAATACTTTTTGATACACCGTACAATAATGTAAAAACTTAAGCATATACAAGCCCAGCTGCACCATGGTGCCAAGAAGCAGGCTGGAAATACTGATATACCTTAGGATTTGTTCACATTTCTGTAGTCAAAGAGTGTTTATTCTGAACAGGCGCGTACACAAGGGGGGGGGGGGGGGTTGGGGGGGGGGGGGGGGGGGGGGGGGTTAAACTGCCCCCCTTTGGTAATTTTTTGTGTGTAAACCCCCCCTAAATTTTTCTAAACCCCCCCCCCCCCTTTTGGATTTTTTATTTTTTTTATTTTTATATATATAAAAAAAAAGATAATAAAAAAAAAAAATATTCCCATGGTTGACCTAAAAAGCTGACCTTAACCCCCCCCCAACGGAGCAAAATGTCAAATTGTCAAATTTCGAGACCAAAAAAAAAAAGTGTCCCCCCACCCCCCCCCCCCCCCCCCCCCCCCCCCCCCCCCCCCCCCCCCCCCCCCCCCTTACACGGCTGGCTGAGTCGTTGCGAAATTTTCGGCCCGATTTATAACTTGAAAAAAATCCTGCGTACGCGCCTGATTCTGAATATATACTGCTATCCAGAGATGCATGCTTGTAAAAAAGATTCCTGGACCACATCACTGATAGTCACATCAAAATTAATGTGGATGAGCATTAATTATGATAATAATAATTATTATAATAATGATGATAATAATAATGATATAATAGTACTACTACTACTACTACTACTACTACTACTAATAATAATAATAATAACTTTTCTATGCGCTTCCAAAGGATTTTAGATATAATACCTAGGCGTTAGTTAGCTTAAGTATTATCAATAAAACTTATCACTTAACCCTATAACAACTTTGCTCTAGATCAGCCAATCAAGTGCAAGAATTTCAGTAGCTTATAACAGTTATTGTAACTTCCCATAATCTCATTGATAGGCGAGTTTTATGAAAAGCGACCCAGGTATACCTGGATCAAGCGTGGTAAATGTAGATTACTTTCTTGCCAAAGGACGTTAGTACTGTGGCATGGATTCGAACCTCATACCTTGTCGTTCACAGTCGGACAGTCCTGAGACCTTTCCTATTTCCTATTTTTTTTAAATTTATTTATTTATTTATTATTATTATTATTATTTTTTTTTTTTTTTTTTTTTTTTGGGGGGGGGGGGGGGGGGGGGGTTCCAAAATTTGAGAAATTGCCGTATCGACCTTTCGGTCGGTGGGGGGGGGGGGGGGGTAAGGTCACCTTTTGGTCACCCATTAGCATAACTTTTTAATTTTTCTATTAGATCTTTAATTTCAAAATGATGTCGGTCATTATTTAGTTAGACTGTCATACGATAGTTTAAAGAGCCTTTTAAAGACGAAAACGTATTTTAGCCAAATATTTTCTGCATTGTGCTGATAAGCCTTCCGATATGCCGGTTTAAGCCCTAAATTGAGTCTAACAATAAGACACAGACAAGTTGCAATAAGACACAGACAAGTTGCTTATCCCTTACAAAAATGTACCATGGTAACCATGGTACTTTTGTCCAAATTACCATCCACCATAGGCATGTGACATACATTATGAGGAAAAAAAAGTAAGATTTCACCTTTAAAATGGTGACGGACATTATTTAGTTTAGATTTAAAAATAGTTAAAAAAAAACATTCAAATCTAATCTCTCACTCTGACTGCGGCAGCCGTTATCGTCAGCCGAGACGCGCACACATTTCTTTTTCCTTTTCGATTGTACGATTTGGAGACGCTATAGCCTCAATTATTGGTGACTATCCTCCTCCGTTGGTCGCGCGCGGAGCTACAGTATAATTATATTCATTCACCATCATTAGCCTAGACCTAATGCAAGTTAGAGTGCACACGTACCCTCCGTCATGGCGGAAAAGGCAGAAGAAGCAGCTTCTCAAAATATATTGTGTCCTTTGTGCCTGGATGTGTTTGATAATGCTTCCATTTTGATATGTGGACATACGTTCTGCAAGCAGTGTTTAGAGAGGTATGATGACGCCCATCGAGACCTAGATCACATGGTGTGTCCTCTTTGCAGGAAAGTCACCAAGTTGGATGAAAGTCGAGTCACTGGTCTACCCGCAAACTTCACCGTTAAAGCCTTGGTAGACGAGTACCACGGCTCACATGGTGGGATAAATGCTGTTCTGGAGGATCAACCGAAGTGCACTGCTTGTGAGCTCAAGGGAGATGCTGTATCATTCTGCTATGAGTGTGGCACTTACATGTGCGCCAATTGTGACTATGGCCATAGTCATCTGACATTGTTCTTCAAGGGACATCAGGTTGTGTCCATGAAAGACGTCGTGGAAGGAACTGCACATATCGGGCAAGTCAGAAACAAGTGTTTGGTGCACAAGCACGAAAACAAGGATCTTTTCTGCGAAGATTGCAAAGTATATCTATGTCTGAAGTGCATGATTGTTAATCATCGTGATCACAATATAAAAAATCAGGCCGACTTCGAGAGGGAGATTCAGCAGAAAGTGGATGACATCGCCAAGCGCAGTAGCGACAGAAAAAAGGAGTTTGAGAAGCATATCCAGGACATTGAATCCAAACGCCAAGAGATCTACACCACTATCCAAAAGTTGCAAGGTAACATAAAAGAGGCATTCATGAGAAAACTTGACAAACTGAAAGAAAATGAGCGGTTGCTTATCGCTGAAACACAGCTACTGCAAGAGAATTGTGACAAAGAATTGGATGCCTTGAAGTCCGGTCATCGACATAAGATCAAGGCTATTTCAAGCTCTGTGAGCCTCGTGGCCAATGGAAGGTTAAGACATTTAGAGAAAGACAGTTTGACAGCGCACTCATTAATCTCCAATGAACTAGAAGGTCTCTTGGAGGAAGTTATTGATGAGAAACCTGTAGCCGACGTAATGACACATATTACCTCGACACTGTTCATACCGGCAGGAGATACGCTTCTTGATCTTGGTCGTATGTCGTATCCTCGTATGGCAATAGGAAAAGTGGTGGACCTACCATACCCAATGAGTGGCATAACACAACTATCTGAGGATTCGATTCTTGTTGGATATGGTAGTAGCAGGACCGATGCAGATAAAGTGGAAATCAATGGAAGCGTGCAAAAATGTACAAAAACAGGTTTTTATGTCTATGACATCGCCCATCAAAGCAATTCAACGATTGTGGTGTCAAGAGAGCAAAGAAAAATAAGATTTTCTAGTGCTAAAGACTGGTCCTCGACATCAGAAAGAACAATCTCAAATGATACAGGAAATTCATCCCCATATTTAACTGTTAGCTCTGAGAATGAAATCATAGCGGCGAACAGAAATGATCGGATTCATATCTTTGATCCTACTGGAAGCACAAGAAAGCACTCAATTGCTACATTGGAAAAACCATGCCAAGCCCTTGCAACCAAGACAGACGTTATCATCTCAAGTTCTTGCAACAATACTCCCAGCAGAGTACGAGTCTATGACAGAGATGGGAAATCGGGTGATCCTATATCAGCCAAAGAGGGGGAACATCTCTACCCAGCAGTAGATGGGGAAGACAGGGTGTTCATTGCGAGTGTCAATAAGCCAGCTGGTAGAATACAAATCACTCTCTACCGTCCCGAAGGTTTGAAGCTCAAGAGAGTGGTAGAGTTCGAGGAGCTTGAACTAACACTGAGTAATACATGGTGTTACCTAGTTTCTGTATCCTGCGATACACTTGCATTCGCTTGTGGTAAAAAGGTGTATTTCCTTTCTATTCCACCTGGAATAGTTCCTGTGGCTGCAGAATAACCAGAAACCAAAAGCCAGAGTTGTCTTTAATTTTTGTGTTCACATGATAACAGTTCTCATGGCGTCTGATAGTGTTATATCCCCTAAATGCTAGTTATAATATGGACAAGTGCTACATAATAACGTACATGTAACTAAGTACAAAATACTATATTCGTAAGCATTAAGTTTGAGTGTATTGGATTTGTTCTTGTAAGTACAAGAAAAATATATGTCAAAGGTCATTGTGATTTCAAGTAGTTTACATCTGTTATGTATCCCCCTAAGATGGCGCAATTGAAAATACATTACCGTAGTGGTAGCATTGTGCATAAATTCCCCTGACTTCAAACATTTTATATACCTGAAATGGACACTCAACAAGTTAAAGCTGTTCGATATCGAAAATAATCATGTCAAATCTTATGAATGTAATAATAGTCAATGGGTTCATGTGTACATGTGCTCCATACAATGTACTACCAGTATACTACACAATTATGTGCATGTCATTACTTGGAAACCATTTGTTGTTTGTGTAAGTTTGAGTAATTGAGTTATATGATTATTTCCTGTATATTTTTGATAAATACACAATCGTTCAACGTTAAAACAAACCAATTTGTTTCCCCTCTATTCAATGATTGTTATTAATGATTGATTTGTCATAGATTACCTTGGAAATTGAACGAGGTCGACCTTGGCTAGCTTTTACTATTTGTTGGCTCTATCTATTGACCCAAATGTCTTTAGTAGTTGTTAGTTGTTACAGAGAAATTCAACAAGTAGTTTGTGATGCGTGTGATGCCTTGATGTTTTGTTCAGCAGCTGCGTTTTGTAAATCCATGTACTATTATACACTGCAGCTATTGTTTTGCAGTTGTCCAAATTCTATTCTGTGTATTTTTCATTGATGGTTGTGTACATTGCATTTTAAAAGAATGGAATGGACTGTAGTCAATTTGAACTTATTTTGTAACCTCAATTTACTGCTTTGGGAAGCTCACTTTTAAAAACAGACCAAGGAAAGATAATCATGCACTCCCAATCATAATTTTGTAGAGCTGCAATTATTTGTAAATAATATGCATAAACCTACTCTGGTCTCTTCAAAAGATGATGTTGACATGATTGAACACCTTTACATGTATTAGCCAGTGTTGGGTTGAACTTGAGTGGTAATGAGGGGCCAAGTGTTTAAAGGTTAATTGGAGATTCGCAGATAGGATAAAACTGTCGGTTTGAGTTGATTTCAGATCATAGGATAGGAAGGGAGAATCCGTTCCTGTATGTTCAATTGCAATCAAAGTATGTTATTAAATGATCAACAAGTATACACTATAATAAGTAAATGTTGTGGCCGCTTGTGTAAATGTTAGTCCATTTTCTTCACTTACAAATAGTTAATGTTAGAAGATTCGTTTGTATACAAGTGTTCATATACCCCCCCCCCATCCAAAACAAATAGATAGAGAGAGAGAGGGGGGGGGGGGGGGGGGGGTGGTGAGAGAAATAGTTTCATAGTAAGATAATGAGAGAGAATGATGAGTTCACAGACAAGAGCGTCACAGAGAGAACGACAGAGAGAGTGAGAAAGAGAGAGGGGGGGGGGGGGGGGGGGGGGAGGGGGGGGAGTGAAAGGGTAATAGTAGGCCTACCGGTGGAAGATGATAATACGTGTGTGTGAGAGTAAAACAAAAAGGGGGGGGGGGGATGAGTTACAGGAATTACTAGAGGAGGATGATGTGTTTGAGAAAGAGAGATGACTGAAGACGATGATGAGAGAGAGGTGGGGAGGGGAGGAGGGGTGGGGAGGGGAGGAGGATAGGAAACGCGTGAGGGCCGACGCGACGTGGCCTCTCGCCCGAAAATATGCTATCCCGATCCGAAATGTCGTGAGCGAGCGAAACAATAGTATGGATGAATTAAGTCATCAATATACACTAGATTATAACAAAAATTATATTCGGTCATCTCGTTGCCAAAAATCATCCAGATGTATCAATTTTGCAAGAAGTGAAGCGAACGATAAGAAAGGTCTCTTTGTTGTGGTATAAATTTCATTTCGATAAAAAAAATTAAAAAAGGTAAGGATTTGGGCGCCATGCTCCGAATCATGACGACAACCGGTCAGCCAGGTGCCCGAATATCGTCATATCATCTATTCATGGACTGAAACTATCCCGTTTTTTAAATTTTCGAGCATCGAAGCGAGTGAAGAAAAAGACATAGGCCTATACAAAGTATTTATAAAATGTTATTTCTTCAGCAAAATAGCCAAAGTGATATATTTTGAGGCACTGTCGGTTTCTTTAAATGTCCGAGGTTTACAGACCTTTAAATTGCTCTTTTTAAACGTTTGACCTCGTATCTCAGCCCAGTAAAACGTGAGGTCAATTTCTGCAGTCTGGACCCCGTCTTATAAAGAGGCGGTTGATCCAAATCAATCGCAAGTTTGCAATCTCCTATATATTTGCGATTGATATCAACTCAGGGCCCTGGATGCGTCTTATTTGTGGTTGGCAACAGATGGCGCTATTACCAAAGTAGTCATATGAGCAGTTGAGTTGGCAGAAAGGGGCGGAACTAACTTTCTGAACACGATATAATCTCTAATCACCTCTTCTTCCAGTCATAGACAATCGACCACCCTGTCAAAATTCCACCATCCACCCCTCACCTTGACGTCATAATGTACTGTACTTAGGAGCACTCTTATCCCTCACCCCATCTCTCTCTCTCCCCTTCTCTTTCTCTTTCTCCTCTCTTTCTCTCTTCTCTCTGTTTCTTCCTGGAGAGTCTAAAAGTGAAAATTAAAATAATTTACGCATCACGTGTACGCAACATAAAAAGCAATTGCACAAAATGTTATTTGATAAGATTTATTTAATAAAATAGTTGTCTTCATCATATTTTCATTGCTGGACATTACTCTCTAAAAAACAAAAAAATAAAATAAAAGATGGAGTAAAAGAAAAAGAATGGGCAGTCACTTTCTTTTCCAGAAACCAGGCAGAAGAAAACGAAAACTAAAACAACTAATTTTAACGAAGAACCTTTATTTTACTTTCAAACATGAACAATTATTTGGCATATCGTATATGTAAGCCAAAACTTTTTAGATATTAAAAAAAGTGAATACCAAATGCCTCGATTACATTTGAAGCAAAAGAAGGGTCGCACATGTGAATTATCGTTAAGAATTTTAAAGGAATAGGCTTAATAATGATAATAATGCGGAAAATAAAATCCCCTGCAGAAACTAGTCTTATATCGGAGGAGATGAGATAATCACGAAACACTCCTTTAAAGGGCCACTGCACTACTTGTAGCTACTTGCGCCCTCTATATAACAACCAATGCCTAATCGGTGACCATTGGTCCCCCATGATCCTCTTTTTCTTATGTTAACTGAGAGCTGAGTTGATGAGATAACCACCTGTCCAGTGACCTTGCAGAGCGCTCTAATCCCTCCTGTAAACTATGGCAGATAAGCTTTAATATTTTGGCTTTGAGTTCGTTGCCATTCTTCTAGGGATATTTAAAAGTTACAGGTAATTGTTGACTGAATAGAGCAAGCTATTAAACGAATAATTTACATAATAGCTACGGAAAAAAGGTCGACATAAAGTCTACAGTTTTTGTTATAAAGTCTGTCTTGATCGAGCACTGGGGGTAGAGGGTGAAAGTTTCTTGCTGGGCGTGGCAGTGGAGAGGGATGTGGTACTTGGTGTATGGATGCAATTCGAATCTTGACCCTGCTCCTGGTGGTAGAAATACTCGGCTTTGCCAACCAGATGCCACAATGTACTCAGATTGACCTGGTTGATGGAGATGGTGAGAGGGAGAGAGACATACACAGAGAGATAAATAAAGAGAAAAAAGGGATAACAAATAGAAAAAAAGATGAGATGAGGAGAGAAGAGAGAGAGAGAGAGAGAGAGAGAAAGAAAGAAAGAAAGGGGAGGCAGAGGGTTAAGAACGATATGATATGCAAAAAAAAGAAAACAATGAAATAAAGAATTCAAATTTATGTCTTTATCTTAATATATTTGGAAAGTATTTTTTTCTTGTTCGTTATGGATATGGGAAACAAATACCACGAGTAAAATGTTTTGTGCTGAATCTATCAATTTTTTAATGTGATGTCGATTATTAGGAATATGAGTGGGCGTTGATAAGGATTGTGGTGGGGGGGGGGGGGGGAGCTGTAGGGGTGAAATACCCAATTTGCACAGAAAATTCAAATGAAAGATGTAATGACACTTTCCCTATTAAATGCCCATCCCTTGTTCAAAATTAAGTAACGACGCGCAGAAGAATCGCTCACTTTGGCGTCAAGCCTTAATTTATGTAGTAGGCTGTTTCACGACCGAGGTGAAATAGATACCCTCCCCCCCCCCCCAAAAAAAGGAAACAAAATGAGAAAAAAAAGAAGAAAGGAAAACATATAAGATTGAATTACAAATAGAAGTGTTGGTCCCCCCCCCCCCTTTTTTTTTCTTTCGAATGGTTCAACTCACCCTGAAGTAGCCGCTGAATGGATGATCAAGATCACCAATGACGTAACAAAGCAAACTAATTGAGAATACTGTTATGATACACATCATGAGGTCCATTTGACTTGACTCCGTCTATAAAATAAAATATTGAACGGGGGGAGTTGAAGATAGTAATCATAACTTACAAATAGTGATCTACAGAGCATGGATCTTAACATTATCATGATTTTAGGTGGTGGACATTCAACACATAGGGATGGTATTGCGAAGTCGACATGCGTCTGTCCCGTTTGAAGGCCTCCAAAAATGGTGGGAAACAATAATGAAAATCACCAAATTCTGAGCATGGGCTGAATTATTGCAGTGGCGTATCCCGCATAGGGTCAAATCGTGAGAGAGAGAGAGAGAGAGAGAGAGAGAGAGAGAGAGAGAGAGAGAGAGAGAGAGAGAGAGAGACAGAGAGAGAGAGAGGGTGGGTGAGGGATAAGAGTGCTCCTAAATATGACGTCAAGGCGAGGGGTGGATTGACTGGAAGAAGAGGTGATAAGAGATATATCGTGTTCAGAAGGTTCGTTCCGCCCCTCTCCGCCAATACAAATCAACTGCTCATATGACTACTTTAGTAATAGCGCCATCTGTTGCCAACCAAATGTACATGTACTGCATGTATACTAATTCATCCAGAGCTCTGAATTACAAAGAGTATAGTATAGTATTTATTTTCCGCATTTATCTTACCACAATAAGCATGACACCGAAGTAAGAGAAGAATCCCAGCACCTCTAAGAACGTCCACAGCAGAGGGTGTACCGTATAGTGCAGGGCCATGTTACGCTGTGTTGAACAGGTCGCCAACTCCTGAAGATTACTTATAATTTTCTCCTGCGAAAGGAAATATGACAATTTAACCCAATTAGATACAACACTGAATATTTTCATTTTTATTTATGTAAATGTGTGCAGGCTATAATTATTTTGCTTTTCATTTTAATGACATTATACCTTGCCTACTTTCATCAACCATGAACAAGATAACCAGTCGCATTTTTTTTAAAGTCTTGCTTAGGTGATGTAGTCATTATTCGCAAAGAAAACAAGTTAACGAGATAATATTTCTAACCTACGTTATTCTCAACATTACAACAGTTAATGAAAAATCGGTTGGATACCGGTATTACAAAATGTATAGGAGAAGCTAATTTGTGAAGTTCATGTTTTCATGCGAACAACTTTTTTTTTCTTAATGAACGAATGAAAGAGAGAGAGAGAGAGAGAGAGAGAGGGAGAGAGAATAGAGGGAGAGGGGTAAATGGGTGGGTCGGCTGGTAATGGGTGAACATGGGTAGAGACTTACGACGATGGTAGTATCACAGTGGTCTCTATCTGTGTCATCTTTCTGCAAGACATGGACGACGTCCCAGATCTGACCTGCAGAGTAGTCATGGTGGTAGTCCTTGAGCTCACACCCCGTCGACCAGTAATCTGCTGCATGATAGAAATGATCTCTGTCTTCACCAACCTGTAGATCTGGGAAGACGAGCAATTTGAATCGAGAAACAAAAATATGAATGATATCCAAGAAATCGAATTATATCATTTCATTGCTTCCTTTCATTTATTTTCATATTTCTCATGTTACATATACATTTCAAAATAAAGTACAAGTTGTTTTTTGCGTGGTAAGATAACAATCAATAATACATAATAAATAACATAAGGATAAGTGGTCAATATAGAGTACTGATTTAAATGAGAGAAATATAAAGGGACCTACATGAAAGCAAGCTTGTAAAGCTGAAGGCCCCGGTGAAATAGCTTGTGGTAAGGGATGGAGGACGGATATAAATAGTGACCAATCCAAATAAATAACAAAATAAAAAAGGGAGAGAATAAAGAAACATGCTGGGGTGGTGCTGTTTATATTGTCACTCCCTTTCTTAAAATGTAGACATAAGTATATGCCATTCTGCTACTCTGAGTTCCCGGTAGCTTTTATGATGTGGCCCGGTTACTCAGGTCAAACTGGGACCTGCACTCTATTAATTTAAATGCAAAATCACCAATTAAAATGGCCGAGGAGTGATCACTTTTTCACGTCTCCAGATTGATGTTTTTAACATGCTAGAATATACCTTTATAGCTTTGAATCCAGCAGGTCGAAAGTTTTCATCTACCATTTCGAAGGGGGAAAAGGTGATCAACATTTGTGTTGCCTTACGGTTAGTGTTCTTAACAAATCAAGGGCTATTCATTGTATCTTCTTTAAGTGCACGAAAAAAATCACATAACATTTTTGTGATAACATCACCGACCTGACACATTATGTTAGCTTTTGATTAATATTCCTTTTATAAACTAAATATAAATAGGTACGTGGCAGATTACGAAAGTGCTTTGCTGGGTTAATGTAAAATGACCAACTGCCAGTCTTTGGGAAATATTAGTATCCAGAACAAAAATGTTAAAGAAAAAAAAATAGATTAACTTTGCTTACTTTGAGTCTATCTTCTGTTGTCAGTGACGTCATCCTTGACGTCATTGCGAGAATCTGATCGAGGAATCCTACTTCGGTGGAGACTGTGGTTGTGATACCGCGTTGCTTGTCCAATACGGATTGAAAAGTAAAACCGAATGTGACTCTTTATTTAAAGAGCGAGAAAGAAAAGAAAATAAATAAATATATAACAATCCATAGGAATACTATAGTAATAATTTCTCATGAAAACTCGATTTCCAAACACACAAGAACACCGACTAATTGCCAGCTCATTATATCTCATTCCTCTAAATTATAATTTTCAATAGGAACAACAAAACAAAACAAAATCAGTCGGACGATATTATATTTCTTGCCTAAGAAGGTTTAGGTGAAATGAGAACCTATCAAATATAAACTTTGCTCACATCTGGTTTTGAAGGGAGCTCTTTTATTATTCTCAATCCATTCAGAATTTAAAAAAACAATAAACATATCTGGAAAGGTTTTAAGATTCTACATCGGACATGTAGGCTTACTGTGAAAGAATGTTCGTCTTTGATCAGACACATCTACTTTAAATACTTTATGATACACTTTATATAATAATGTAAAAACTTACGCATATACAAGCCCAGCTGGTGCCATGAAGCAGGCTGGAAAATAAGAAAGGTGAGTCATCAGCCATCATATTTAATTTCATTTCGGATGTTAGTACCTCGGCTTAATTAAGCTTACGTATTATCATTATCAATAACGCTTGTCAGAAATCTATAACAATTTTGTTCTCAGCCAATCAAATACAAGGATTTTTGTAGCTTATAACAGTTTTTGTAACGTTTCATTGTTAATATTAAGTTTTATGAAACATGACCAAGGTATACATTGTATACCTGGCTCAAGCGTGGCAAAAGTAGATTTATGTCTTGTCAAAGGACGTTAGTGCTGCGATATGGATCCGAACCCGATTCACAGTACTTTTACCAACTGGCGCTGATTTAAACAAGTTGTAACCAATATTTTTTTTGGCCAGACCTCTCTGATATCAATTTCACTTCAGCACTTGCGGATTTAGGGGATGGGATTAGAGATGGGGTACAGCCGACATGTATCCACACCCTTCTAATACCTACGTGGCATACCTTTAGTACACAAGCCCTTCCCAAATTATTGACCGACAATGGGATAAGTTTGTTTTTCTTGCTAGCTTGCTTGTTAGAATATTTTGAATTTTGGAATTGTACCGCACTTCAGGCGCGTACACAGGATTTTTTCAAGGGGGGGGGGGGGGGGGGGGTTTAACATTTATAAATCGGGCCGAAAATTTCGCAACGACTCAGCCAGCCGCTGAATAAGCGAGGGGGGGGGGGGAGGGTAAGGTCAGCTTTTTTAGGTCAGCCATGGGAATATTTTTTACTTAAAATCCAAGGGGGGGGGGTTTAGGGGGTTATGGGGGGGGGGGGGGGTTTAACCCCCCAAACACCCCCCCCCCCCCCCCCCCCCCCCCCCCCTGTGTACGCGCCTGCCGCACTTTATAACAAAAGAAATTCCTGGATCCGTCTCTGACTTACCCACACCATCATTGATATTGGGTAGACCATTGGGCCAGAAGGCGGCTATCAGAGGGGCTCTAAGTAGGAGTAGACATGGGCCGATAGATAGAGAGATGATGGCTGGCAAGGTGATGAGAAACAAAGACAGGGGTCTGTTGTAGTGTCGTCTTAGTGCCTCCATCGATTTGATTTCTCCGGAGGTTAAAACTGTCAGGAGAAAAAGCGAGTGTTTCGATAACGAATATAAGTATCAAAATCGAATAACCTTACAAGATTTTCTTTTTTACAGAAAGAGAAAGGGAAGAAGAAGAGAATGATGATGATGATGATGATAATGATGATGATGATGATGATGACAAGAATATTGCTTCTACTGATACTGCTACTACTGGTAATGATATTAGTAATAAAAATAAGAAGAATATTTTGATGATCAAGAAGAAGAAGAAGCAGCAAAAGAAGAAAGACAAAACTAAGGAGATGATGACGGTGGAGGTGATGATGAGGATGAAAAAGAAGAAGGAGAAGCAAAATAGAAGAAGGAGATGGTGTAGAAAGAAGAAGAAAAGAAGTTGAAAAAAAGGAAAAAGAAAATTAATTTAAAAAAATGGAAGAAGACAATGTATACAAAAAATGTCGGACACTGGTGGCATAGTTTTTCCTATTCATACATGTATTTGTGTTTTCACACCAATTACGATTATTACAATTCATTATCAAAGTTAATATGGATGAATATGCAACGTAGAGACTTTAATGGGCACACAATTTCTGCCAACCTAATATCTATATGCACATCTCTTCAATGTGATATCGGATTTACAGGTGTAGAAATTCGTCCTTTGTGTATTGCGTGGGATGCCATGGTTGCGACATACTTCTTTTAGTTATATAGTTTACAAACATCCTAGGCATATGAATTAAAGTGTTTACAGGCTTTGTTGATTCTCCAGTTACTACATATATTTAAATGTTTAATATAAGCTAATCAAGAAGCTTTACTCTTCAGACTGTTACAATCGTCCACAAATTGTTTGAATGTATAGCAGAATACATATGACGGACCTTACATGCCATTATTTGTACAACTTAACAACTATAAAGCCATCGAATGGATGTATAGTTGTTAAGTGTTACGAGTAATGGCCTGTAAGGCCCGTCATTAATTCCTGGCGAATACAATATATCGTTGAAAAAGAGGTCATTCATGCTGGGCAGCCATTTTTAATCGTGAGGTCATCATGGATATTATAACGTTGGTAAATTCTGCCCCAAGAAATGAAGAACAGCATGAATATTCTGCCATATTATGTCTTAGTACAAATTTAACGTGAAATATAGATAATATTAAAATGAAATAAGATTAAACCGCATGTTAAGTACAATAATATAATTATACTGATTATCGAAAGCTTATACTTTCACATGTTTCATGTCTTGCACAACTGATTTTGTTTCCTACGTTCTGTATAGCTACCACTGCACTGAATATTTGGCATCGGAACAAAGTCGCAGACACGGGATCGATAAGAACATGAAACTTAACAATTTCTGGTATCAATCTCCATGTTCTCGATGAAGATCATTATTGTTATTATTATTCATTATTATAATTATCATTATTATTATCATCATCATTATTATTATCATTTTTATTCTGATAATTATTTGTTGTAATAATTACTATTATTGTTATTGTTATTCTTCTTCTTCGTCTTCCAATTCTTCTTCTTCTTCTCCTTATCAATATTATTGTTATTATAATTATCATAATCATATTATTATTATAACTTTCATTATTATCTTATAATGATCAATATACTCACATTCCTCTGATTGCTCGCCGCATTGAGATTCGGTCATAGACCCAAGTAGAATAACCTCAACTTTGTCAGCAGTTTTGCTTCGGAATTGTGGCCTTTTTGCTCTCCTCTTCCAACACGTTGTAAACATGAGTATCATCATCCCTTAAACACGATTAACAGAATAAAGTAGTGCGTTACATTTCTTTGATGGAAGAAATCTCAGGATGATGCATTACAATGAGGCGTAGGGATATTGATCATTGTGCAATTTCAAAATGAATATATACAAACAATTGAAGTAACGAATGAATAATGAATATAACATTCAAAAGGTCGGAACTGGTTTCAAAGTTTAGCATGACTACCCCATCCTCGGGTTAAATTGCAGTGCAATTCTACCTCTCTTTACCAGGTTACGGAGACTAATTGTTTATCAAATCATCACGAAGAATTAATGTTAGGAAGTGTCAAGAATACAGTCAAGAGTACAATCAATACAGCTGTCATGAAACTAAATTTAATTTTCTCCAACCATGCAGGTCCTGCTCCTTCACCCCGCCCATTCTCCTTTACGTTATCCTGGTACCATCATTACCACCACTGTACTTCTACCACTACTACCAGTACTACTACTACTACTACTACTACTACAACTACAACTACAACAACTACTACTACTACAACAACTACTTTTACTACTACTACTACTACTACTAATTCATTTTCACTCTTATTCTTTACTTATTTTCTGTTAATATGTCGATGATGTTTATATTTCTCGAGTAGTTTGTATCTTCATATATATATATATATATATATATATATATATATATATATATATAACTATATATATATATATATATATGTTGCATTTGTTTACAGGGCTCCCTGGAACACAGTTCTTTGATTACTGACGGGGCTACCCTGTTTAAATAAAACGGAATAAATATACAAATAAACTACTACTACTACTACACATAATAACAGTTAAGGTGATGATAATAATAATTATAAATTAATGAAGATGATAATAATGATAATGATAATAACAACAACTACAACAATAATAATCATTATAACAATAATACAAACACAAATAAAAATAATAACAATAACATGACCATGATGATGATGATAATGATAATGATGATGATCATGATGGTTGTTATTTTTATTATGATTGTTATCATTATTATTATTATTGACAGTAGTAGTAGTAGTAGTAGTAGTAGTAGTAGTAGTAGAATAGTAGTGTGTCATTGTTGTTATTATTATTTTGTAATCATCATCATTATCAATATTATAATAATTATAATAATGCCCCCATAATTAATATTAAGCTTCTGAAGAAAATATTTACCAAATAATAACAAGCCGATCAATGCGAAGGGAGGAACCATCATTTCAGTGAGAGTCACACCATCCTGAGATGACATCCCTGGTGAAAGTTCGGGCTCCGACTCCGGCTCTGGCTCGGCCTCGGGCGTGGTTTCTGGTTCGGGCTCCGGTCCCATGTTTTAAAATATGGTAGAAAATTTCTCTCAAAACGAAATTGCAGCGGCTCAGTGAAGATATTTTTCCTGTAATGGAACTCGTGATTTATTCTGTTGAAGTCGTTGAAAGGATTCCTATCGGGAAAAATCACATTCAGAATCTAATTAAATATTTAATTAAACATGTATAACCTCTAAAAAAAAACAATGGCTTAAAGGTACTATGTCCCTTTTGCAGCCAACCTCAAAGTCTGTAGAACTTTGCAGGAATTATAAATATGTCATGTATGTCCTATCTGTGAAATTTAAATGTTAGCAGTGTCATCATATTCAAATTATGCAAGGAAACCCGTTTACTTGCTAGACTTCACTGTCAGACACTACTGAGTGACTGACTGGCTTTTTCCTTCTTTGGTAATAACATACATGAACAGAGTTGTAAAGGATACATGAGCATTTGTCTACATCAATAACCCACTTCTTGTGATGGCCAAGATTAAACTGATTGAATCTTTGCGCAGCATAAAACGTATGACCATTCGGTACAATTGTCTGAAAATCAAGACTATTACTTTTGGGCTCTATAGCCCTAAAGTCGATTTGACAACTAATAGTCGTAATTTTCCCACTTGTACAGTACTGAATAGTAAGACAGCTTAGTGTGCTTTTAAAAGAAAATAGAAAGGCGTGAAGAAGGGGAAGAAGAAGAAGAGAGAGAGGGGGTAACTATTAGTATTACGAGGGGAAAATAGAGAGGGGAAAGAGAGAGAAAGAAATAGAGAAAGATTAGATAGATTGTATTAGGAGAGAGAGAGAGAGAGAGAGAGAGAGAGAGGGGGGGGGGGGTAGGGGGTAGGCTATACATCGCCGAGGAGAGAGGGGGATGTAAGGAAGAAGGAAAAGCAGAAACCTGCAGTATTATGTACGAATGCATGCTATATGTCCTAACAAGCAACCCTCTTTTCAAATGAAGAAAAAGAAACCACACACACAGAGGAACGCAATACCATTCAAAGTTTTAAATTCAAAATGAATGCATTAATTAGAGATAATCACTGGTCATAGTCTACATAGCAATGTTCAATATTCAATCTATGGACATACAATATTTGCTAAATTCGATGTCGGACCCCATGGAAGAACAGGCGTATTTTGTTAATACGCCTGAAATGGGCTATCCGCCGTATATCTCATTTATGTATGTATTTGTATGTTGTGATGATTTTATACGGAAATAAAAACAAACAAACAAACAAACATGTTGGGATGGAAGATTCTTTGAGGACAATTAGACCTGTGGAAGAAGAACAAGAAATCAGAGCAGTCTATACAAACGTATCTAAAATTCAAATGTGATAGCGCCTTCCAACAGTAGTATCATGACCGAATAATATTGTTCATTCTAACATTATAACCCGCAGGCCTAATCTGAAATATATCTGGTATACAGAAGAGAATTACCAAAACGGATACAAGCGATTATGAGTCAATTATTAAAGCCTATTAAAATGACCTACATAATAATGAACTCTAATTGTCCAATCAATCGTCAAGACGATTCTGTACATCAGGCAGAGTGAGTGACCTATATTACTCCGTGATTGGTTGTTAAAACTGTCAAAATAAGCAAGGGCGGATCCAGGATTTTGTAAAAGAATCCAAACGCCACTCCAGCGTTGAGATAATGTGTAAACAGCAAACTTCCTTGAATATGGTTGCTTGTCAACGTTAATAGGAGGTGCCACAAAAGAGCAACAGAGGAGTCTGAGCCAAAAACTGACAGTCATAATTAGTGAATTGATGATGATAAAGTGAGCAAGAGGCCCAGCTGTCACCGTCATTATTGTCGAGTGAAAGTTGATATTGAAAAGTGGTTAGCGTGAAGTATGAGTTCTGTATTCACACATCGCTAGGCAACGAAAAAACGCAAAAAAATATTCCTAGAAAAATATTTTGTCATGCAGTGTGTGTAGCCTGAATCACTGTTCTATATGCCATATTTGTTTTGATAATACAAATAATAAATTATATTTCTAAATAATAGAAGCGTTTTAAATCAATTTGCCAAAACAATCAAATGTATCTTAAAGTATAAAGGATATTAACGACTTATAAATCAAATTTAAACAGGAAAAAGTAAGCAATGTCAGGAACAAAACAAATTAGTAATATGCAATGAGAAAGAAAATGAATTGTAATACATACTAAAACTATAATATAAAGACAAAAACGTAATGAAAGAAATCGATGAGGCATAGATAAGTTAACAATATAATATGAATCACATAATATGAAGTTGTCTTCAAGGTAATTACACAGAACAATTTATCAGAGAACAGTGTAGTTCTCATTTCATCGAATTCAGGAAATAATAATTTTGTTTCATGTATTTTTAGTTTTTAGTAAATTACAGTAAATTGAATCAAGGTCACATCAGGCTTACTTTTTTCCGACATGATCGTAACATTAAATACTCCAACAATATCCACCATGGGAGATGGGAGAGTGGGGGGAAAATGTCCTGCCCCCTTTTGGCAAAGATATGTTCAGGAAAACCTCATAAACAAAACAACCTTGTCCCTGTTGCATTTAACTTTTTATCAATAACAAGTTACAATAACTGTTATTAGCTACTGAAATCGTGACATTTGATTGGCTGAGAGCAAATTTGTCATAGAAATGTAGTATTTCTCTCCCCTTTCCTTTTCTTCTCTGCAAGTCACTCTTTTTTTAATTATTATTTGTATTGTTGTATCTAAGTTGAGGGCTGCGGGCAGGTCAAGCTACTATGCTTATTTCTGTAGCCCTCCTGCATCTAATGTATGTTAATTATGCATTCAATACATTTGTTTAAATTCAATTTAATTGTTTAATATCGTTTATTATCTGTATAAAATTATATACACTTGAAATATTGTATCAAGCCATATTATGTTCATGAAAATGTATGATGAAAAAAAGGAAAAAAGATGCAGAAACCAATAAATCAAATCAAATCAAATCAAATCAAATCAAATCAAATCAATTTGTCACTGATAACAAGTTTATGAAACAGGGCCCAGTGATTGTTTAAAATAGTCGTTATGTGAAGGGAAAATTCATTGGCGATGCGCTCAAAGACATCGTTGACGAAGCTGTTCATGATGGACATGGCAAGGGACACCGCAAGTTGGTCAACGAAAGTAAACGTTTCCTTTACCGGGGGTAATAATCCAGGGGTGATTTTCAGGGGATACGGCCCTTCCTCTGTGGCCCCTGTCTCGGGGACGCTGTAGAGGCCTATAATTCGTAGGGGCCGGCTTAGTATGTCTCGGCCTGTAAATATTACACGAGCTTCTTTATCATAATACTATTTAACCCTTGTATCACCTCTTGAGTTCGGCGCAAATATAGACCTTACGGGTGAATAGTTAAACTTTAGCTTCTTGAATATAACAACAAATATTTGTAAAGCACTTCCAGATCTATTTAAGCATAGCTGATACTGACATTATCAAATCTCCAGTGATTTTATAAAAATCTCCATTGAATCATTTCTGATCAATGGATTTGGAGAGGAAAACGGATTACTCTGACCTACTGTACATTATCCTTTCAGAAGTTCATCAATGTAGTAAAACACCAATTTGATATAGTAACAAAGAAAATCTTTTTTCGACAAAATCTATATAAGCTTGATTGACCAAAACTTACCGATTTTTAAAGAATATTAACAGTATTCCTTTCCCGATTGTTCTTGAAAACAGACAAAACATATAAAAATTGCGAACATACTGTATACAAAACCACAAAGCACCCAAAGATCTTGCGTTGTGGATCATGAAAACATGCTCTGTATCTAGATGGTTTAGCATAGCACTTATAACAGCTTACCCAGTATAATAAGTCAGCTATCACGAACAAAATCAGATCCTTGTAGTTGCGAGCTTCAACCGTTTCTATTTAAAAGGGAAATTTCAGTAAATGTTTGTAATCCTAGCTGTAATATGAGACACTCTCGTGTACTGTACGTCACCGCTACTGTATTGTACTGACTTTGGAATAACCACTCTGTGGAATAAGTAAGGGTGGTCTAGCTCGGTCGGCGCAGTCATGGCTCACGCGGATGTATAGAACGGTTGCGTGCAATTAATGTTGATGATAAATAATTCTCTAATAAAGGGCGCCTATTTTGTCCTATACACGAGACAACTTTTCCTGATATTACGTCATGTATCATTTTGAAACAAAAGAACACTTTATGAAAGAAAGAATCATACACTACCGGGTCTTTTATAATTAGATGTTTCAAACTTTCTTTTATGACTTCCAAATCTTCTTTTTTATTCCGTTCTTTTTTACTGAAACGTTTGCGCATTATTTTCTTCTTGCAATGTTCATCATTTTATCTTGTTCTGCATTAGATTGCTTTACCCCCTTCTTAATTAATGCGAATGTAAGAATACCAAGAACTATATGAAGAGGAGGAGGAGAGAGAGAGAGAGAGCGAGGTAGAGTGGGCGGGGGTAGTCTATAAATGGCCGAGGAGTGACTATTTCTTTTCTCAAAATGCCAAATTATTACTTTCAACATGCTACAAAGGTTCGAAATGTTTATAAAAATTGACAACAAATAGTAAATCCTCAGCTTTTTTTCTCCCTATAGGACAGAGGAACTGCATAGCTTTCTTGGGTTTTTGTGACGTCGATGAAACCATGATGAAACCAGTAAAAAAAAAAGTGTCAAATGCTACTGATTAATGCAAAGATTGACGTTACGAGGGAAGTACAGGGGCTGTGATTCAGTGTATGCTTACTCCTAAATACTGCTTATATAATAGCGTCGATTCCTCTGTTTTAGAGTACTCGCGGGCACTATAGATTACGTTCTGGCATGACACATTACTATTAGGCCAAGGTCTACGCCCCGTGGTTAACAACCACGTCAGCTTCTATCCCACGTAAGGATGTCCCTAATCATGGTTCACAATAAACAGACAAATTAACTAAACAGTAGTTCAACATGCGAATATGGATGAAGGAAACGTAAGATGACAAGGCACGCAACTGACATCGATTGCAGTAATTCAAGATATTGTTTTCCAAGGCAGAAAGTTTTAGGCTGAGCCAACATCTTACCAGAGATAGAAAGCATACAAATATAGTGTATTATAACAGACTAGAATATATATAATAATGAAAACACGGGCCCTGGCTACAATAACAAGTAAAACTAAATAAGAAATGCTCACTAAAACTATAAATGGGCTTTAAAATAACTCTTTCTGATTATTCATATTGGCTGCATATTATGTAATACATAAACGAACTGTTAATGGAATTGATCTTTTCTCGTAAAACTATATGTACGTTTTAGAAAAGAAATAAATGAACTAAACTGAATCAAAATCGGTAATGTTTAGAACATGGGAGAAGGGAACGAAGACCCAAACCATTGTGTTTCTATCATCGGAAAACAAACAAGCAAACAAAATGATGGAGGAAGCGTCAGTTTTTTTGTTGTTGAAAAAAAAACAAATGTTTATTCTTAACACATTACAAAAGACGTGAGGAGATTATTACTTTGTTAGGTAATGAAATTGAAAGACAATGGAGCAACGTTTCAAAAGGTGCAAATCACATGACTAATATCTTAAGCTGTAAACTCTGTATTGAACATTAATATCATATGCATCTTAAAACTAAGGCGCCTCAAAAGATAATACAGTAAATTTTCATTCTTGAAGGCATTCAAACAGTCCAGTCCGAGTAACAAAATACTAGTATAAACATGAAGAAAATCATTTGGACGTACCATTGCCATTCTTGTAATTTAGCGTTTACTCTTTAACCTGCGTCAAAAAGTGCATTGGACAAATTTCCCCTTTCTTTGAAAAATCATTGCATGATTACTCACGTAAAAAAGCTAATATAAATAGTTATGGTTTCCGCTAATTTTCATTTATTTCATTTGATTTCGACGAACGAACTTTTCAGAAATATTACCACGACACTTGCATAAATAAACTCACAACGAACACATAACTAGAAAGTATTCTAAATACCATGGTCCGTATTATAGTCAATTTAAACAAGGTCTAGTATAGTGCAAGTTTACTTTCCATTCTCTTCAACATGCTTTTATCCCTCATGATGGTTTTCACAGAAATTTGAAGAATACGGCACTTTGGGGGTAAATTATTTCAAATATACATATAAATAATGTTAATGCCTATGTCATGATGATTTCATGAGCTACAAGACAGCAATACAAGACATTCATACAAATGCGTTTGTGGATGTGTAGGTGTGGGTGAGTTGAACCTCCTATAGCACCGTGGGAACTGCATCTTTATAAAACAATAAATGTGATGTGACGGTGAGAGACAAACCAAATCAATTAACGTCAATACAAAAATATTGGCACGTGAATAAATACCGTTCTTGTGGGCCAATACTTTGAACTCGGGTTAAAATTGACAAAGTAAGAAAAGGAGAGTAAAAGCGGATATAATTTAATAAATGAATACAATTAGAAGATAAGTAGAAATCAACATGAATAAATAAATAAGATAAAATCATCCAAATTACCGATGAACATTTTTTATTTCCATACAAATGGAAAACATTAAAAAATTGTCTTAATTCATTTAAACTGATAGCAATTCCAATCATTCATCTACGACTTAGGATATTTCAGAAAGTATTCTATGAATATACTTCAAAATCAAACGTCCAGTACTATTTCTTTAATTTGTTAGTTACATTTGTCAAATAATCTTAACATTTCAAAATTGTTTCAAATCTCTCGTGTAGATTAAAGATGCAGACATTAAATCTAACAAAGGTGTTAGATACATGATCTACAGATCTAACCCTCCTTTCATATTCAACCCGAGTTCCGAATACGGCTATCGTGCAAATTTTGTTATTAACCAAACCTCCGTGTGATTTTGTGTGTTTGTGTAATTTGTGAACTCTTCAATATCGTGATAATGTGTGGTGGTCAAACAAATGAAATATGCAAAACACAAAATAATACATGGAACAGAGATACGAAATAAAACCGGGTTACGTTATAGATATTGAAAATTACACATGTCCTGAGAGAAAAAAAATGACATAATTATAGCTCTGTCGTAACTGTTCAAAATGTGCTGTCCGATTCCTGAATAATGTCTAGGACTCTGGGCCCCATCACACTTCTTAATCTTGATGTAATAGTTCCTGACCTCTCATGGAAGCATTCAATTAACTCATAACATTCCATTTCGTAGTGACCCTTACACATTATCGGAATGAGTGTCCTGGAGAATATATATGTATGCATTAGTCAGCTATGACAATTCCTAGCCGGACAGCTAACATCTGGGTGATTGTCCCACCCTGGCAATTGCCTAACTTGGGTAGTAAAATTTCCGGACAACAACAAATTTGACACAATCGTCGAGAGAGAGAGAATCATTATATAGACGACTAATACCAGGACAATGGTTGTCCTTTTATGACAATACCTCATAGACATATTGTCTTTAGTCATAAACATCCTTTAAAATATAAACTAGACGATACCCCACGGAGAGACGATTACTACACGAATACCCCGGAAGATTGCAGTTACTACAAGACACTTATCTTTCCGGAACTATCACCCTTCTAGTACGATATTTCTTTAAACAAAAAATTATCACTGTGATTGGTGATTGCCCTATGATTTAATTGTACGATGTATTTGCCAAGGCTGCACATGTCCGGGAAGATAACTTCTGGGATCAGTCGACCTAAAATCTCATTCCACTTTTCACAATGACTCTTGCAATATGATGAGATTATATTAAGTATATCTACCTTCTACGTTTAAAAAAGCATCACATGCATACAAATAGATCTTTGAACTGAAGCAGACGATATCTTATGTGAAAATATTTCAATATAGCCTTAACATAAAAAAACACAAAATCATTGTATTCAGTTGCAATATCAAAATCGTAAAAGAAAAAGGCAAACATTAATATATGAGATATATAACTAAATAACTGATTGCTATCGACAGACAAAAAAAAATATTTATACATGTTGATAATCAGTTTGCAGATCTAAACATTGTAGGAAAAAAACCTTTAAACTTCAAACTACTTGCACAGTGGTAGAAACACATTAAATGGAAGCTCATTGATTCGCAATTACGTCAACGATTATGGAATTGTCCACATTACGTAATTTTTAAAAGTGAAAAATAAAACCGGACAATCAGTGCGTGTGTGGGATAAACTTTGTTTTCTTCTCCAGTCTTGATCAATCAGATCTGACAATTTCAAATGGGAGCAACCTATGGCGTCTCTATCCAAAAATTATCATATTGGATTAGCACCTACCCATGTCGTTTATGCACGTTATGTGAAGACTCGAGAGCAGATCACTAGACCAACGCACATCTCTTCAAACTAGTGATTTAATCACTATAATGATGTTAATAATATGAACCCTTCCCATTCATCTGCTTCATTTGATGGTGGTGATATATTTTTTGTAGCATTGTAGCAATATAGCATTGGTACATTCCAATACATCAATGTATTAATATTAATGTTAAATTATCTATTCTGGTTTCTTCTCTCGCCGCCCACAGAAATGGCAGGCTGCTATTAAGAGTACGACGATGAGAATAAATGCTAATGATCCTAGGATAGCAATGATAATTATCCAGTTTTGCTCCAGGCTTGTCTGAGGTAATGCTGACGGCGCAACGATTTCTGCAAAGGAATATGCACACAAATTAACGGTTAATATCAGTGAAACTTAACTTTCCAAAATGAAATTCCCAATCCCACATTTGCATTTTTCAAAATACACTGTACTTTATTATTATGCAGGATTTTCGTACATGGTGAGAGCAAAAATAGTCCTAACCAAATGATCAACAAAACATTCAATCCTTGAGATTATAAAGTATATTGAATGCACTTTATTACTGCGTTTCTTTCAATATAAAGTTATCGTCTCCGATATTGTCTCGAGGGCATACTCCTAGATCACTTTCTATGAGTAAAAGAAAAGATTAAACACA